ATAAAATGAAATAAAAATAGATTAAACTAGGTATTACTTGATCAATTTTGATTTAATTGATGAACATTTATTACTATGATATAACCCTTGTTTTTAAGTCTGGACCCTTTACTGGGTATATATATATATATATATATATCTACTGGACCGCAAACGCTATGTATCATTAATCAATCGTGAATAAAGGATATGCCTATGTGATCATATGTATCTATTACTCTATACAAATGCAAATCTACTTTCATATATTTTGTTTTTTTATCTAAAATCTCTAATAATTGACAAATAATTACTAACATTTCTTCATCTTCATTCCCTTTATCCAAATAATACGAAATTTGTTTTCAAGTTTTATAATATTTAGATTTATTATTTAATATTTTTTCCAAACAGGAGATTACTTACATTAGACAAAGTTTTACATGTAAGATATATATTCTACCACTGTCACTAGTGTGATACCATATTTCTCCACTCGAAACAGTGAAATAAGAATTTTAAATTTAAAACGCGAGGCTCGCCCAGCGTTTCAAATATTTAAGATTTAACCGTCGAGAGTGGGAAAATACCGTATTGCACTAGTTTATGTGGTAGAATCTGTTTCTCTAAAGATTTTTAGACTATCAATATGCTTTCTTTTCACATGATTTGCAGAAATCTTTGTTCTTTCTATGTAACGTCTTCAGGCATGTTGCCTTTTTTCATGACGTCACAATAGAAAATTCAGAAGAAAGCAAGAAGATTTGACGTCATAATTGATTTTTGACCAATGACATACTGAGATCAAACGAACCACACGTTGATTAGATAAAAATAATCAACCGCAAACAGGTCAGGAAAGAGATAAACCAACTAAGAATTAGAGAAAAGACAAACATATAATCTTCTATTTCCTCATTACAGAGTTTGTATATTCTATTTTCAAAATTAATATTAAATACTCGTTCTTTTTTTATATGAGCTCCAATTCTTAATCTTTTTAAAATGCACTTTAAAGGATATGATAATTTTAATAAGTCAAAATTAGAGTTTGGTTTTAATAACCGAAAGACTTTACTGTGCTTATTCAGTAGGCTTTGGCCTTTTACTATACCAATTGCTCAAATAGTTTACCAAATTGCAGTTTGAATTTATCCCCACAAACTGATCAACTGGTAAAATATTTTAGGTAATTGCTTCAGTGAAAGGTTGATAGTGTGCAGTGAGTGCATTGATTAAAAGTTATGCTTACCATTTATCTTCAGTTAATTCTTTTATATATCAGGAAATTCAAACAAAATAATGACTTAGTATAATAAGAGGCACTGGTTTACAAAGGTATAATTTTGACATGAAAACTTCTTTCCTAAATACATTTTATAAATAATCAGTTTAAAACATTGTTTTGTTGGTCAATACTTTATAGCTTTGTTTTCCGACAAAAAGTTATTGCGTAATTGTGATTTGGATATCTTTTTAAAAGCAATTACTAATCTGCTAATAATAAAGGGAAATGATTTTCATTATATAATCAGCAAAATTTTGTTCTGTCAACTATAAACTTCCTTCATATTGACATTTTATAAGTTATTTGTTCTAAGCATTGTTTCCATGATTATAACACTATTATCCTCTATTCTTAAAAGAACACGAAATCTATTTTTTAAGATGATCAAAATTTTGAAAAAACTGTTGAAAACATATTATGGTACACATTTAAAGATGTATAAATCCAACAGATTCTTCTGTAAATTAAGAGGGTATCACTAGCCCAGTAGTCAGCAGTTCTGTGTTGACATGATTTATCATTCGGATGGTCAATATTATATATTATCTGTTTTGCTAAACATTGAATTGTTCAAAATACCAAGGATTTCTACCCCTGAGAATTAGATTACTAATCAGCAGTATTTGGCAATACCTTTCGGAATTTTGTTTCCTCAATGCTCTTAAACATGAATAACTTCGTACTTAATTTGGCATTTCAATAACTTTAATTCCAGCCTCAATGAAGAGTCTTCTGTAGACAAAACTTGCATCTGGCGTACAAAATCTTCAGCCTGGTGGTATCTTTCATTAATTTTTTTTACAATGACTGAATAAAATTATTTCCCTTAGATCAGTACATGTAATTGTTATAGAAAAAAAATATTCAAATTACAATTACACAATAACTTCCTGTTAGAAAGCAAATCAATAAATTATTGACCGAATAATTGGGCAAACTAATTATTTATAAAATGTCATTAGGATAGAAGTTGTCATGTCAAAGTCAGACCTTTTTAAACAAGTGCCTAATATTATAGTACGTGATTATTAGGTCTTTCCACTTTTCTGTGGAAAGACCTATTGTATTTGTTCTGATTATTATTATTATTTTTTTTTTTTCTTCCGCCTAATTTTGTTCTCGCGTAAAATTTTTGTTTCGCAAGATGTCGCTTAGATATTTCTTATATAGTATCATACAGTTTATGCGCTTTTTATTTTCACCCATTCTAAGCCGAACAATTTTCTTTGTAGGAGTTATCTCCCTGAACACTGTTTTCCTTGTGACTGCATCTCCTCCGTAACCGTAAAAGAAAGCGACAAATTTATTTTACCAAATGGCTCGCTATATCCTCAGGATTTTTTGTCCAATTTTGAGGGAAGCGATACGAAGACTCCATATGAGAGTTATTTCCCCTAATGCATTTGAAATAAGTGATATGCATTTGTAACTGGTAAACCATAAGTGATAGAGACCTAGGGTCTGTTGATTTGAGGTCCTTGGTCCCAAAGAATAGAAAACTAGGTCAAGGTCAAAGGTCAAGGTCATGTTGTGATTTTTTACATTAGGTTCATATCGCTTCTTCCTAGAAAGAGTTATAGATATCAACAAAACAATTTAACCAAAAATTTTGTCGCGACACGTGTTTACTAGAAATTTTTTGTCGAAATGGTACGCGTCATTTTATTGCAGGGTCAATGTCCCTGTTATGGTCGAATCAACAAATGGCTTATCAAAACTTCAAACTTTGCAGCTATCATGTTGTAAATGTTTCTTATCTCAATAATGAAGACAGTCTACCACTACACTCACTCCCCTCCCCCCCCCCTCCTTTTTTTTTCAACTGATTTTTTTTTTAAGTCATCCCATTTCAAAGAAAAGAAGATCGCTTTTAGTCCCGTACATTATACTGTAAAATGCTAATCCTTCTTATGTACAAATTTCTTTCTGAAATAGAAATCCATCCCTGCAAAAATCTGCTCCAATTCATGTATTTTCTGAAATTAATCGATGAGGCACGTGCGGTCCGCTTGATTGCGAAATTAAAATCAATGTATTCCTGAAATCCTACACTCAAATTTCTAAACATGCATTAAAATACAAATCTGTGCTCCCGTAAACATGTGTACGTAATATGTATGCGTGATCCGACATCAATGACCTGTACAAAATAAAAACAATAGTTATCGCGTTTCTCTGATCAATACACATGTGCTCTGTTCAACGGTCTCCTCTGAAACTCCAGACATATATATTCGAGCGTCACGTGACTTCAAAACATCATCACGCGCGCGGACCTAAAATTAGAATAAAACATTCGAGATCCATATCCAAATATGGAAAGTGAAACTTCCAAGACAAAATGTTACTCATTTTTTTTTTCCTACAAGTTGAAACAAAATGTACATACAACACATAAAAGAAACCATGAAGTATCAGTTCTCGTAGCAAATAGAGAAAATTAGAAAAAAAAGAAGATGTTAGGATTTTTATTTATTAGGAAATCCTGAAGCTGTCAGTTTGGGAGTGCGGGATATACAAGTACGCAGCCTCGTCAGAATATGAACGTCAAGTCCGATGCCTCGCATAGAGAGAGTGTCATGCAAACTTTCAATCAATCAATCAATCAATCAATCAATCAATCAATCAATCGACCAACCAACCAACCAACCAATCAACCAACCAACCAATCATGTTTCGGAGGGGAAAGACCGTTTAACAATTGTTTTTAAAACAATTGATTTATATTTCTATTTCAATTTCATTACAGAGACATTAAATAACTGAAGTTGGGTGGTAAGCATTACTTTCATTTCACTGCACTCACTTCATACAAAAAACCTTTCACTGAACCAATAAGCTAGAATATTTTACCAGTTGATCAGTTTGTGGAGATGAATTCAAACTGCAATTTGGTAAGTTATTTGAGCAATTGGTATTATGATAGGCCAAAGCCTTCGGGATAAGTACAGTAAGTTTATTTCAAGATGTATTATTTTGTCTTCATCATTAAACAACTCTTTCCTCCCAATGTTACGATATTTCGAATATAATTTCCACATAGTTAATGTTTGGTTTAAATGAGAGTACTTGATCTTCTTGTAAGCCAAGCAATTTTAAGATAGAATGAATACAAAAATAATACAAATCACTTCTTTTTAAATCTCTACAAAGTTCCTAGTAATAATCTTGATTTGTGTCAATGTTGAAATTCTGTGAATTAAAACAACCCCACATTTCTGAACCATATAATAATACAGAATTCCCTGGGTAAACATTTAACACGAAAAGTTTAGTTTTATTCATCATGTTCATTACGTTAACATATATTTTCTTTGATTTTATTACATAAGTACACAAAAAAGTTATTTCTTTTCATTAAATACATTATTAAGAAAACATACAAGGCTATTTGTTTGAGCCTACATTTGTAAATCTATTTATCTACATCAATTTTTCATGTCCAGAATGCATACGGGGGAAAATGAGAGGTTAAATGTCACCAAATAATGCAGATAGGTCAATATAAATGCTGTTTTAAAATGTTAATGGGGTTAACTATACTGAAGAGGGAGGGGTATATTTTCATGACTCGAAAATTAACGCGAAACTAGTTGATTTATATTCAAATCTCTCAAATTGATTACGGATTAACAAAACAAGGTTAATGTCTCCTTTTAAGCATGCATTAGCAATCATCTGAATACAAACTCAGTCATAATATAGCAACCGGGTTAAGGATACATTAACAAAATTACATATAAAACTACTTTACTGGTACATAAAATCGTGAAAACATTTCGGTAGTGAGTTGAAACACCGACACATAGTATAGGTTAACATCGGTAAGGTCGAATGCAGTCGTTCTTCCTCTTCTGTTCGAGCAGTATTTGTATAAAAAGGGCAAAGCCGTAGTAAGGCAGATTTGATTAATGGACCTTTACTCAAATCAACCAAATACAAATTTATGACACTGCTTTATATAATCTCAAACGTCTCTGTTGACACTGGTTATAGTCCACATAACTTGTTCTTGTTTAAAACGATTTAAAACATATCTGTTGCGAACTAAAATTTCAAATCTCTTTCAAAACTTTCCCAAAAGATAACCCTGTCTTCTTCGTCCTCTGGATAATCAAGGTAAGTGTCATCGTTCATTATATACCTCATTTCTCGAGGAATTTTTGTTATTTCTGTTCTCAATAGTTGAACAATAATTATGCTATTTCTTCCTTGTCTTGAGACTACAATATCCTCAAGCGCTATATTAAATTCATACATACACCATTTTGACTCGAGAAAATTATTTGTGAGAATGCAGACAAATTTCCGGCTGTTGTGGATAGCATTTGTTATATTTTCAGCAATGGCACTTCCTGCGATAAAGTCTCTGTGGTGAATGCACAAGCGCAATCCTTTATGTTTCTCGAGAAAGTCTATCATATAATCTTTCGGAAACCATCTGTCATTTTCAGCATAAGATACGAAAGCGTCGAATTGAAAATTGCCATCAGTCTTATCATGATCTATACCATATTTTCCTTTCAAAACATAATACCAGTATCGTAATTTCCATCGATTTCGGTAAATAATCATAGAACAAATAGTTCCCAGAAAGACAATAATTCCTATTGTCACTGAAACAATTACTCCAACATATGAATAACAATCCTTTTTCAAATGAAAGTTTGCTTCAAATATATTTATTGATTTATGCAAATATATGCATGAATAATTACCAAAACCTTTTAAATACTTTCTATGCAACTCAAGCCATTTCAAAAAAATCATTGAATCGCAAGAACACTCAAAGGGGTTGTGCGACATATCTATTGTGATATTCAAATGAAAGGCTTTTTCAAGTAAATTCATGCCGTCACTAGACAAATATAATATCTGATTCCAACTTATATCTATAAACATTAAGTCTTCCATATGATGAATAGAAATATTCCAGTCCGTAAGTAAGTTGTGGTCTAATAGAAGAGTCTTCAGTTTAGATGCCCTGAACAGAAAATTCTTGAATAAAATCGATATTCGATTCGACGACATGTTAAGAAACATCAAGTTGGTTTGATTTTCAAAAATACAAACCGAACTGTTATCCTGAAAAATGTTGGAATAACCCAGTAGGTTGTTGTCGATTCCTAAGTGTTTGAGGCCTACTAGGGAACCAAAGACATAGCTTGATATATCAACAGCTCTGTTATTGGACAAATCAAGATATTGTAGCAGTGTTAAATTACATATTGGGCCTGTAAAAGAGTAAAGCTGATTGTTTTGCAGTAAAATTTTCTTCACAGAAGATGAACTAAAATAAACAGGTGGTATATTGTCTCCTATTTTTGTACTTTCTATTATGATTGTTTCTGTATTTGGAGGAACCAATACAAATTGAAAGTTCGCATAAGTGTATGGAATGCATGCTGTTATCAATTGGCTATATTTTAAGTTGTTTGTAAAATATGAAATTTCTTCATTTTGATTCCAGTGAATGACCTTTTTATTTGCCTGAATCGGTAGTCTATCACATACGCAGTGTGAAGTTTCATGATAATATTCGGTGCAATACCAGGAATTTTTTGACTGCGACATCTGATGTTTATTTTGAAAACTTAAATCAACAGTTTTGATACCACTCAATCCAGGAATGTAATAATAAGCATATCTAGAAACAACCCATCTATTATCTCTAGCGCTGAAATAGTGCAAAGACTGTGGTAGATATCGTGGTACATAGAGATCAGTTTCTTCTAGATTATTTCCATCAAGAAATAATACTTCAAGCTTTGTAGAATTCAAAGGCTTTATATCATCAACAAATAACACGGTACTTACTGATCTTTCACATTCAAGATAATTTGCTTTAAGTATACGGATTGAAGTGTATGGAAGGTCATACGTCACATTTTTAAACCCACACATACGCAGTTTTCGATGATATGATATGTCTAGATACTGCAATTTAGTAAGCTTCAGTAGTGCACCCTTTTCAAATATTGTAAGGGCAAAGTCAATAATTCTGCGCCACTCTGTTGTAGCGGATATATCGAGGTATTCCAGGTTAGGGAAATTGTCAAAATATTCTCTGCTTATGCTACCTTTCGCAGCGATTCCAGTTACTTTCAGTAAGGTGAGATTATTCAGAGTAGAAAATCCTTTGCCAAACGTTACATTTTTAACTCCATCGATTAACAAACTTTGAAGAGAAGAAAGATCTTGAAATGCTTCGTCTGGACAATAATATTGCTTGTTTTCGTTTGAATTGTTTGAAATATCTAAATACTGTAAATATTTCAGATTATGAAATACTCCTGGGGGATATGTATCAACATCTAGCGATAATAAATTGCTGGACAAATTTAAGCTTATAATATTGCGTGTAGTAGAAAATGGAGCAAACTCTTCTTTCCTGAATTTTGAAATCTTATTTTTTGCTAAATCTAAATATTTCAGCTTTGCCGGTAAATATCCTTCTTCTGGAAGATATGTGAGCAAATTACAACTGAGATTAACCGACACAACTCCTTCGTCAAAATATGGAGATTTTGTTAAATTTAAGGCGGAACAGTCGGCTAAAATTTCATCAGTAATATTGGAACATTTGCATTTAGGATTAGTAGAACATCGATAGTAGAAGGTTTTATCATTTCCAATTATTTTGAAATTCAACAATGATAGACCTTGTATGACATCAGACATGCACAGTACCAAATTTTTTTCACAATGCAATGCAATTAAAATAAATAGATAACCGCAAAGTTTCATCTGAAATTATAAAATAATGTCATTTTAACTAAAAGTAAAAAAAAAAACACAAATATTAATTTGGCAATAAAAACAAGTTGTTGGCAAAAACTAAATACTCTTCTGCTATACAGAGACACAGATTCAACAACAATGGTTTATTGTGTATAGAACGATCACATTTGGAGCAAGTTACTCCATTTACACATACTACCACCAATGCGCATGACCAATACTTGATGTTTATTTGCACACCAAGACCAATCCATCGTTATATTTGATAAGTGACAAAACCTTAAATATATACAAATCCAAAATTTTAAAGGCTCTATTCAAGTCAGCAATGTTTGTTTGATAATACTTGATATGCTCGTTTTGTGGTACCTGGAATGCAGTCGTGTGATTTGTTTTTAAATGTTGACTTAATGTGTTTCTCTTATATTCTTGATTGTAGTGAATCTTGATATTGCTAAATTCCTAAACACCACGCACAAAAGACCAATTGATAGATATTTTCAAGAATTTCTGCCTCTATTTGAACGAAGTAGGGTTTCACACTAAATGTATTTTCTGTACCATGGAATTGCATACACCTGCAAATAATCTACTTAATTGCTGTTTTGATATTTTAATCCCTCAAGGTAACTTTTATCCATAGATTTATATAACCGGGAAGTTTTTCTTCTGTTTCTATTGTTACTATCCTTCCTAGTCTGTGATATAATGACGTCCACAGATCATAACAATAAAAACGCCTAATAAAGTGTACCACAAATATTGTGATTTTGTTTCTGAAGTTATTCTTTCAACTGGAATATAATTAGAAATGTCATTTCACACCAACGTTTAATGATGATATAATTCATCGATAATCAGGTTGAGGCAAGATCTTCCAAAATAATATTTACAGCTTGCTTTAAGAAACTGATAACTTTCTTTAAAAACAAAGATACCAGAGGGATATATTGAACAAGGACAGGTTTAAATGAATTAAGAGTGGACCTTTTTACATGGATATGCAATTTTACAGTAAAACTATATATTTTTTATTGAAAATTTATATTGTTATTTTGCATTAATGATTACTTAAGAATTAAATTACATTCTAACTTCGTCAGGAAGCATGATATTTTGCAATGGCCATGGTTGGTTTGTAGAGAAATACATAATAGACAATAATAGGAAAGAAAGGATTTAGTGTATCCATTCATGACACGAGACCACTACGTGTTAAAGAAAATATTAAAAAGGAACAGAGCTTTTATTGCTGATCTTGATTTCAAAGATACAGGGATGCCTCCAACATGAAGGACAAACACTCACCTCACTGCGTCTTCATGACGACCCCTTGACTCGGTTTGAGCGGAATTTTTTTCTACATGTCGACCACGCTACATATATTTATTGAGAAACACAGTTGCGGGATAAAATCAATAAATTATAAATCATATATGGCAAAGAAATCTAACAATCCAACGAATACTGTCAGAAATTTCCCAACAATATCATTATACAGTAAAAAAAGAACCAGTGCAAATATTAAGACAACTACTGGGTACATAAAGATTGCGTAATATATCTAGAGAGAAAATAACGTATGAAAAGTGCTTATATTGCGGTTGAACTACATACCAATTTCAATATATTTCCTCGTCGAAAGTGACAAAATGAAGAAGCATAAAATAGAGAAGTTATCACAAAAGTAAATGCACCATCAATTCACATGCATGTGAAATGTGTCACGGCCTCCAGAAAGCATAAGAGACAACTATATGTTAAAAGAATGAAAATATGGATATGGTGTATCAGTTCTGTTCTTCCTTTCAAAGTCAATATATAGCCTTCAAATTAGAGCAAAAACTCTCATAGCAAAACATGAAAATGAACCCTGTAGTAACGATTTGAATGGAATTCTTTTCTAAATGTTGATCACGCTTTATCTTAGCATTAACGAGTAACTGTGGAACAAAATCATCAAACTTTCAAATATATCCTAAAAATATTAGGGAGACAATTCCTCAACTTGTGTTTATAATAAATCAATAAATAACCATTAAAACTGCAGTTACGGAAACAACTTGATCAAGGATATATAAAGGCACTAAATTTTTACTAAATATATGTGATCACTTTCTTGATCGCTATAAGGATATTGTTAGAAAATCACGTGTTTTTACGAAAATGACACATTACCGTTTATGTATCTAAGAATTTCGGGTCGTTAATGTCCTTCAACTTCGTACCTTAGTTGGCCTTTTTAACTTTTTTTTATTCGAGCGTCACTGATGAAGTCTTTTGAAGACGAAACGCGCGTCTGGCGTATCCTAGTATCTATGATGAGTTTATTTACAATCACTAGGTCGATGCCACTGCTGGTGGAATTTTTCTCCTCGAGGGTATCACCAGCCCAGTAGTCAGCACTTCTGTGTTGACATAAATTATCATTGATATGATCATACTTATAAATTAACTGTTAACAAAACTTTGAATTTTTTACCTCAGGAATATATTACCTCAGCTGTATTTGGCAAAACGTTTAGGAATGTAAGGTCCTCAACGCTCTTCAACTTCGTACTGTATTTGGCTTTTTTTACTTTTTTTTTATTCGAGCGTCACTGATGAGACTTTTGTAGACAAAACGCGCGTCTAGCGTACAGAATTTCAACCCTGGTATCTATGATGAGTTTATTATTATGACATACAGACGATATGTCACATCATGAATTTAAAACTCTTTCGTTGTACCTAATTCACACCAGCTTACTCATCTGTAAATTTACACATATTTTAAAGGATTTTAAGTTTTTTTCACGATTGTTTTTACCCTCAATCACACAAGAGGAACAAAGGGAATTAATACATTGAACAATGAGACAGTGGTGATATATTTTATAATATTAACAAACAGTGCATTTAAATACTGATCAAAAGAATTTTCAAATGTATATGATAACAATAAAGCGTGATAACCTTTTTAATAGGTACATTAAACAAAGGCAATAATCCTTTGGTTTTAGTTCGCTTCCATTTATATTACAAATAACTCGTTTCATACTGTTTTATAACACAGAAAAAGATAATGAAATTCGTCGACATAACAATATAGTTTAACAACGCACAATAGCAGTTTTTTTTTTGTAGTTTAGACCAGTTTTAATTTAAGATTAAATATTTGAACACCAAATTTGCATATTAACGTTATAAAACTCTTATCAAATAATTTTAATCCGATGGTCTATTTTACTGAGTGTTGAATTACATTGTGGGTGATGCATGTATTGCAAATTTTGTTCTTATGGTTTGCAGATGCAAAGATATAGCTTGAGCTTTATACATCGATAAACTATTTTTGACACTTATTTGACACTCTTATTTTCTTTGTGTTACTAGTAATCAAAAATTCACCTAAAAGTACTTTGTTTCACATAAATAAACATAAAACTTTTTTTTATTTTTTAACAAAAATGGTGGCGTTCTTAACTTACCATGGTCTTCATCCTCGAATTAAAACTTCCTTAATCATGTTATTGTTCTCGTTTTATCTATTTATTTTTTTGTACTTGCATGTTTTTAAATTATAAAGGTAATCTTTTATTTGAGGTCAGATATTTTGCATGTTTCATTAACTTTAGAATTTGCGGTTGAGATATTTAACTTTATTTTCTACCTCATTTCATTCGTACTAAATAAATATTTTCTGATCTAAACTAAAAACTACCTATGAGGTTAACAAGGACATTTTATCGCATGTTTCCGCCTTATATTAACTTGTAACTATAGATGAATTAATATACAAACCCTTTGAATTTTTGTTTCCTTCATTTTGTGTAAGAAGTTCGTCCTTTGTGTCTTACCGACCATTTGTTATATAAGAAATTCAATATAAAAACAGCAATGCACATAGGTTGATTAAAAAAAAGATAACTTATATTTATTCTACAATGTTATTTGAGCAGTCTAAATGAGTTGACTGTATATATTTATGTGATAACAGTCACTGACCGCATATTACGTTAGGCAACGCCAACCACTTAAAAATTCGTAATGAAGTATACACACTTCTGCAAGGTGTTCTCCGAAATTTCTCCTACAAAAATTATACAACAAAACATGGTCTTATTCTTATTAATTGAAAAAGAAATAATCCACAATGCTTTTCAATATAAAATTTATTACTATAAAAGAGGGACGAAAGATACCAGAGGGACAGTCAAACCCATAGATCGAAAACAAACTGACAACGCCATGGCCAAAAATAAAAAGACAAACAGACAAATAATAGTACAGATGACACAACATAGAAAACTAAAGACTAAGCAACACGAACCCAATCAAAAACTGGGGGTGATCTCAGGTGCTCCGGAAGGGTAAGCAGATCCTGCTCTACATGTGGCACCCGTCGTGTTGCTTATGTTATTACAAATCCGGTAAATAGTCTTATTCGGTAAGTCACATTCGTGAATAGGATACCATACGACATGTTTTGTTAATAGTGAACAAAAAGGTAAAACATGCTACACAGAGGAACAAATGATTAGTATGCTGGAGTGTCTTATTGACAACATATGTGTTGAATTTGGAGATAGACTTTTTCAACAAATTGCCGGCATTCCTATGGGAACGAACTGTGCGCCTTCTCTTCTTTCCTACCTCTTCTTATTTTCATATGAGTAGGAGTTCCTTCAGACACTTCTCAAAAACAAGAAGATCAAACAAGTCAGATCATTTAACTTCACATTCAGATTTATTGATGATGTTTTTCAATTAACAATTCAAACTTTTGGGTTCCATTCAAAGGGCACTAGCTACGAGATATATAAAAATTTAAAATATGTTTTTTTTTGTTCAAACATTAATGAAAGTGAAATAGTGAAATAATAATTCGCTTTAAGCGGCCAATATGGTTCATTTTTTTCAAAATAAGCTAAGAAACATTGATGATGAATTATTCACTTGCAAGTGAATAATTCGACCTCATTGAATCCGTATTCATGTGAACTTCAATTTAATCCCTTAGCTAGAGATTGATAACGCAAGCATTGTGCGTGTTGAGTTATTTAACGGAAAAGAATGTCAACATTGAAAGTGAAACAAAGGTAAATCATTTGATTGACTGATTCGATCCTCAAAACATCATTCTTATACAGGTAAAAACGATGATTAACATATATTTTGATATATAATAAGAAATTAAACAGATCTAGAAAAATCCAATTGCACGAGTCCACTTTCTATTTATATCTATATTTATGTTTATATCGCTTATATGAACTTCAGAGGTTTTCGGAGGTCAACGCGATAGGTAATTGAATGGCGTCTAGACTAAAACACACACGAAACGAAGTTACATATTCTCGAGCCCATGCCCTGTTAATTGTTTATTTCAGACTTTTTATACTTTGGATAAATGTTTTACATTGTTATAAATCAAATATGAGAATTTGAGTCAAATCGGTTAACATGAATTTGACAGCTAGTGCCCCTTTAATATATCCTCCAGAACTAGAAATTAAAGAAACAACTGACACAGGTTCCGCCGCCTTATTTTTAGACTTATACCTCGAATTTGACATACGCGGTCTTCTCAATACCAGAATCTATTACAAGCGAGACGATTTTAATTTTGAAACTAACAATTTCCCCCTACTTTAGTAGCAATATACCAACTTCACCTGCATATGGGATATACATTTCCCAGCTCATTCGATATTCATGACCTTGTAGCTGCTACTTATACTTTATAAAACGTCACCAGTGTCTGAGCAGAAAGTTGATAAACCAGGGTTGTCAAAGAACGTCTCGTCCTTTTTCTAAAAAAGTTCATCGGAAGATATCAAGACCTCGTTGATAGATATTCCGTATCAACTTCACAAATAATATATGATGAACTTGACGCAAAGATTCTAGGTACTGACGTTGTTTATCATATTAATTACGTGTTATAGGGTTTTTATTAGTCTTTGTAAATTATTTACCTTTACTGTTAAGTCCATTTTTGGTAATATCCTTTTGGCGTGGCTCGGTACTTATACATCCCGCCATTGTGTTATTGTATATTCTTATCTTATCTTTCATTTTTGCTTATGTGCTTTGTCTATATGCCATTTTGTTTTTCTTTGTTGACATATTCGTTTGTTTTTATAGTGATTAAGATTATAAGACAATGTCGACTGCTGTACCCCTATTTTTGACATTTTCCTACTATATCTGTTTGTTTTGTTTACACATTGTTGTCAATATGATGGAATTTTTATGCGACTGTTATACAAGTGAGAGGTTCAGCTAACTATAATACCAGGTTTAAACCACAATTTTCTACATAAGGAAATGCCTGTACCAAGTCGGGAATATGACAGTTGTTTTCCATTCATTTGATGTGTTTGCGGTTTTAATTTTTCCGTTTGATAAGGACTTTCCGTTTTGAATTTTCTTTGAAGTTCGGTATTTTTGTAATTTTACATTTTTATGCTAACACAAAATTAATATCAAATTGTTTTAAAATGCAATATACAGACAACGATAGTGTTTACATGACATTATAACGATATAAGGACTCGGTACGAAACGTAGAAAATTCTAGGCAGAACCTAGCATTTTCACAGTTTCTAGGTTACACTTTGTAAATACAGCTATTCCACAAACCACGCCTCTTTTAGGGAGAAATTTAATATGCTTAGATATTTTGTTTTGTTTACCTACTGGTTCCCAGATATGATCTCTATGCTTCATCTAGTAGAGACACAACTTGGAAATTTTACCAATATAAATACACATGGTAAGCGGCCAAATTGAATTCTGAGGAACATCCAAAGTGAAGGGAGGGGTAGTACAGAATTTGAGTATATTTAAACTCTTAGAAGTTCGAGGCATATAAATGTTGAAAATATGCCACACAGCACTGTTTTTGACCATTAAAATAAAAAAAGTAGTGCATATAAACTTCCCATTCTACAATATAATTTTTTACGAAAGTTCATAGTAAAAGTGGCACAGTTTTAGCCGTAAAAGGAGTTCCTATGGGAAATTGCATTGTCTATATTTACAGTGCATCTTTATTCGTTGAAAAAAGATAAAATGTATAATTTCATGAAATCTTATTTATCTTCAGAGATTTTAATGAAATAAACTAAAATATAAAGTTTTATAAATATTTCATGAAGATTGAAAAAATCCTGGGCCTTAAATATGATTACTCAGCATAAATTCACAGTTTACAGTATGCATAGTGTACCTAAAGCCCTGTATGCAAAGTGAATTCATAATATATGCATGAATGTAATTTAAATTGTTAAGAAGTGCTTATATTTACTCTTCGCAGTTATTGAAACTCATAGATCTTTGATGAACTTTGTTGTTAGTGTGTTTCTGTCCTCTTGAAAACCCATAAGTAAGCCGTAACACCCGACTGTGCTTTCTTGTGACCGCGGCATTAAAAAATACAAGCTAGAGATATAAAAATATTTTAGACCCAAATAGTCTACTGCTTATGTGAGTACCACATCGACGTCCTGTTTTCACTTCTGAATTTAAGCAAAAAAGGACGGAACATTCCTAAAAATGAATTCGAATGTTTAAATATAAAAGGTAGATAAAAGTTATTTTAAAGCCTGTTAGTTAAAATATACTTAATGACGTAGGGAACTTTTGTTTTTGTTTTTTTGTTTTTATGTGTTTTGTATCGATCTGATAAGTTAAGCCCTATTAACTCATTTTAATAGTTTGTTCTTATGTCGTACTGTTACATCACTATTCCGGGTAAGGGGGAGGTGTTGGCGCCAGCAAACAAGTTTATCCCCGCCACATTCTGCATGTACCTGTCCCAAATCAGGAGCCTGTAGTTCAGTGGTTGTCGTTAGATTCTGTATATCATATTTGTTTTTCCCGTTAATTGTTTTGTACATCAATCAGGCCGTTAGTTTTCTCGTTTGAATTGTTCAAAATTTGTCATTTCGGGTCCTTTTATATCTTATTATTCGATATAGGTTTTGCTCATTGTCGAATGCCGTACGGTGACCTATATTTGTTACCGTCAATGTCATTTGGTGGAGAGTTGACTCATTGGCAGTCATACCGCATTTTTTTATTTCTATACTAATATTTTTACCCAAAAAAATCCAATTTATATAATAATTTTTATTCAAACTATACAATGAAAACATAAGAAACTAATTTAAATTCAAAGAACTCATTTCTTATTAAAACACGAAATACCTTCCGAAAACTATATGTTAGCTTTCAAATTAAAACGTCTTTGTACCTAATTTTATGAAACTAAAACTTCAAATCTCTCTCAAAACTTTCCCAAAAGATTACCCTGTCTCCCTCATCCTCTGGATAATCAATGTATGTGTCTTCGTTCAATATATACCTCATTTCGCGAGGAATATTTCTGACATCTGTGCTCGATAGCTGAACAATTATTATATTATTTCTTCCCTGTCTTGTCACCACAATATCTTCTAGCGCCATATTAAATTCATACATACACCATTTTGACTTGAGAAAGTTATTTGTGAGAATACAAACAAATTTTCGGCTGTTGTGAATAGCATTTGTTATATTTTCGGCAATGGCACTTCCTGCGATAAAGTCTCTATCATGAATGCACAAGCGCAATGCTCCCTGTTTCTCGAGAAATTCTATCATGTAGTCTTTTGGAAACCATCTGTCTTTTTCCGCGTATGATACAAAAACATCGAATTGAAAATTGCATTCAGTCTTTACACGATCGCCTCCGTAGGCTCCCTTGAAGATATAATACCAGTAACGCAGTTTCCATCGATATTGATAAATTATCATAGAAGAAATAACTGCTAGAAAGACTATTATTCCAATCGCCGCTGAAACAATCACTCCAACATAGGAATAACAATCCTTTTTCAAATAGATGTTTGCCTTTAGTATATCAAAAGACTTATGTAAATACGTGCATGAATAATCATCAAAGCCTTTAAAATGCTTATTGTGCAACTGAAGCCATTGCAAAAAATATATTGAATTACATGAACACTCAAAAGGATTGTTTGACATATCGATGGTGGTATTCAAAGGAAATGCATTTTCGAGTAAATTCATTCCTTCACTAGACAAATATAATATCTCATTCCAACTTATATCTATGAATTGTAGGTCTTTCATTTGATGAATAGAAATATTCCAGTCCGTAAGTAAATTGTGATCCATTAAAATAGTATTTAGTTTTGATGAACTGAACAGAAAATTCCGGAATAAAATGGATAGTCGATTTGACGACATATTGAGAAACATTAAATTCGTTTGATTTTCAAAAATAAAAACAGATTTGTTCATATGAAAAATTTTGGAATTACCCAGAAGATTATTATCGATTTCTAAATGTTTGAGACCTATAAGGGAACCAAACACATAACTGGATATATCAACAGCTCTGTTACTGGACAAATCCAAGTATTGGAGTTCGGTTAAGTTACATATTGGCCCTGTAAATGAATAAATTTGATTGTTCCGCAATGATATTTTCTTCACAGAAGATGTACTAAAATAAATAGGTGGAAAATTTTCTCCCACTTTCGCACTTTCTATAATTATCGTTTCTGTTTTAACAGGAATAAGGGCAAGTTCAAAAAATGTGGCGTCATAAGGAATACACGATGTTATAAATGGGAACTTGTCATTTTTTTTAGATGCTCGTAAAATGTCTTTATGTAGACCCCCGATAAGAAATGATGATTCATTGACGAAATCTGGAACTCTATCACAAATGCAATGAGTAGTTTCATGGAATACTTCACTACAAAGCCAGGCGTTCTTTGACTGCGAAAACTGGTGTTTATTTTGAAAGCTTAAATCAACTGTTTTAATTCCTGTCAAGCCAACAATATTAAAGTATGCGTATCTATTAATTACCCATCTATTATCTCTGGCGCTGAAATAATTCAAAGACTGTGGTAAATGACGTGGCACTAGGTAATCTGTTTCTTCTAAATTATTTCCATCGAGGTATAGTTCCTCTAGCTTTGTATTATTCAAGGATTTGATATCCTCGACGAATAAAACGGTACTTACTGATCTTTCACATTCCAGATAATTGGCTTTCAGTATGCGTATTGAAGTTTTTGGAAGATCACTCGTAACATTTCTAAATCCACACATTCGAAGTTTCCGATGGTATGAGATGTCTAAATACTGCAGTTTTGTAAGTTTTTGAAGAGCACCTTTTTCAAAATTTGTAAGTGCAAAATCGCTTATGTTGCGCCATTCTGATGTAGCTGACAAATCAAGGTGTTCAAGATTGGGGAAATTGTCAAAGTATTCTCTATTTATGATCCTTTTAACAGCAATTCCAGTTATTCTCAACAATTTGAGATGTGTCAGAGTAGAAAATCCTTTGCCAAACGTTACATTTTGAACTCCGTCGATCAATAGACTTTGAAGAGAGGAAAGTTCTTGAAATACTTTATCTGGACAATAATAACTTTTATTGGCATTGGAATTGTTTGAAACATCTAAATATTGTAAATATTTCAGATTTTGAAACACGCCAGTGTAATACGTATCAGCATCTAGTGATAAGAAATTGCTGGATAAATTTAAGCTGATAATATTGTGTACAGTAGAAAATGGAACCAATTCGTCATTATTGAATTTTGAAATTTTATTTTTCGTTAAATCTAGATATTTTAGCGTTGTCGGAAGATATCCTTCATTGGGAAGATGGATGAGCAAATTAAAACTAAGATTTACCGACACAACGCCTTCCTGGAAATGTGGGGATCTGGTTAATCCTAAGGTAGAGCAGTCGGCTAAGATTCCTTCACTTAAATCTAAACATATGCATTTTCGATTTGAAGAACATCCATAGCTGAAGGTTTTAATATTTCCACTTATCTTGAAATCCAACGACGGTGCAATGTGTGTGGTATCAGACATGCACAATACAAACATTGTCCCATAATGTAATACCAGGAAAGAAAATAGCCCAGTGCAAAATTTCATCTGAAGTAGAGTTAACATTATCAAATTAACATAAAGTAAAATACTTTTTTTTGTAAAACAAAAGCTTTGTTCATAAACATCAAATTTTATCAAATACTTGATATTGTTCCTTATACAACCATAGGGCATCAAAAACAAAACTGTCTTGTGCATAAGATTTTTGATATAATTACGTTCAGCTTTTTTGAAAGATCATTTATGATATGGAGAAAAATTCTATCAGATAAAATTATATGATAGTGTTGTTTAAAGAAATGAGAAACAATTACTGTCGACGAAGATTTACCAATACTATGGATTCATTTATTTTCGTGGGTACCGATTTTCGTGGAATAAGAAACAATATTTTTTCGCAGATATTTGATTTCGGGGTTTTGGTAAATACTAAAATCAGGCCTATAAAAATTTTGAACTTCGTCAAACATTTATATTCGTTGTTCACGTTTATCCTCGACATCCACGAAAAATTGAATCCCACAAATAATAATGAATCCACCAAAAATTGGTATCAAACGAATAATATTGAATCCACAGTATCGATTTGAATGCATACACAATTCGATTTTTTACTTGCTTATATTGTCAATAAAAAAACGGTATGCGATACTTCTTTTCAACAATTTCTATAATGAAATACACTTAATGAATTTCGTGCGTCCAAAATGCTTTTCTGGATGTATCTTCATTAAGAACGATCAAAATTAAACATTTGAAAGCAAATGATACGTAAATATGCTGCAACCTTAGGATCTATATGACCAAAAAGAACCAAAAAGACTTAAATAAATAGCCAAATTCGTCTATGGTCATCTTTGCCTGTGAAAGTTAGAACCTGAGTTTCTTAATAGTTTCTTAACTTATGAACGAAGAATTTTAAATACGTATGTTTTATAAATCATGTCAGTACCGATTTTCTGGATTTACCTTCATAAGGAACGATTGGTCATTTAAAAGGAGCTATATGACAAAAAAGGAAACAAAACAAGAGTCAAATTTGCCTTAGGTCAAATTTGTATGCAAATATCAAATTATTAGTAAAAAATTCAGATTTTTTCTGAATACACTAGTGCAATCGTTTTACTTTTTAGACTAGAAACCTTAATTTCTCACGGTATTCAGCATACCAATTTTTTTTTTAAATTTGCTTTTTCTTGATGTTGATGTTCTGTTTGTTCCCTCTACCATTGGAATGTACTGACAGTAATGTTTCAATTTTCAATGAATTTTTCTTTTATATTGCAAAATACTTATACAAACAGGGCCACATATCATAAATTGGATTAAACATAATAAATGAAAATAACACTCTTTAAATTTTGTTCATCCGAATGGCTTTTCTGGATTAATAAAGGCAATAGTAGTATACCTCTGTTCAATAGTCATAAATCGATTTAACATTTACAACGCTCAAACCTAAACATTTGAAAGCAAATGATGCTTAAATTCATAGCGTTAAAAGTTATATAAAAACTTTAGGAACTATATGATCAAAAAGGACCTTAAAAGATTAACTAAATCCAACAATGTCAACCTTGTCTTAAGAAGTTGGAAACATAGTTTTTTTTAATAACTTCCTGATTTAACGATGAATTTTAGAAAAATATGTCATTTAGCATGTCAGTACGGCAGCACTGAATATGGTGGTAATGATACCTTCGGGGGTTCACAGTGCAAGAGCACAAGTAACGAACCAGTGCAAGTCAATGAAAAAATACTTCCGTGCGTTCGAATCGCTTTTCATATTCACTTCCATTAGAATGCCCAAATCTACAAATTTGAACACCAGGATGTATAAATCCTAAAATCTTAAGAAGCTGTATAATCACAAAGTCTTAATCGCGTAGAGTCTAGACAATACGTGAATAACTATTATCAAATGTTTGTCACATATACTAATTCGCTAAAGGCGAACAACTAAAGACAATCACTTACTCGGTTTTGCCTTTGGAAGGGCATATTAACATGCTAAGTGATTTAACTATATACACCTGTCAGCAAAACACTAGGTATTTAGATGATGATGGTGGATGGCTGGTTAACGTCCAGAGGCAAATTAAATGCGGATGCAGGACGGGAACATGATAATTTATTGACATTGCTCAATTGCTTTGTTCTTCAATTTACACTTGTGGCGTGATCGTCAGTTTGCAAAGAATTCCGTTCAAGCCAGTACTATTGATCGTCTTAAACTTGCATTGAATCGAGAGTTTTTGTGCTGTTTTAAAAGTCTCACTGTGACTCTGAGATGAAGAACAGCAATAAAAGCGCTGTTCCTTTGCTTTTTGTGTTTTTTGCTGTGCATATACTGATTTTGTGTCATTGATGGTACCCCATTTCTTTTCTTTTATATTAAAGCGGTATGAATATGAAATCTGCTTTATACTAGAACGACACGTTGAGTTGGATTTTTAGTGTGCTACTTCTAAATGTATTAGTCATCAGGAAGACATTGTACCCTAATCTGACACATTATTCTGACTCCGAGCCGACCAGTAGCTCTTCTGCCTAATACCACGTGCTTAGAAGAGAAGAAACAATTACCAATGTCAAAGACTTTTGTTGACCCCGCTTGAGATCGATGGCACGACCTCTACACTCGAGGCGAGCATGGTAATGGTATTCAAAGGATCTTACAGTTCAGAAAAAGTAAGTTCCTCCATAACAACTGTACAAGACAACACCACACAGGTACAATCATGTATCCATCAAAATCACAATTAAGGTGGTACCAAACACTTTAACTAAAATTAATTTGGCTCGTTTAATTTTCTTAAAATTTTGACAAAATATTTACTTTGACCCTTTGACAAAAATATAAAAATTTCAAATAACTTGAACCACACACTTTATCGGAAAAATTTCATTGGATATATAGAAGTTTGACAAACACTAATTTTGATCATTGAGAAGCTTAATATTTCTTTAACAATAGAACGTTATTAAAACGTTCAGCTGATTTTTACAGAGTTATCTCCCTGTAGTGTTATGTACCACCTTAAATTCAAAACAACATGACTTTTATTGTGTAAAGGTATAAACACGCGACAATTTATCTCTACATTCGGTTGTATGGTTGCCATCACCATTTGGGAGGATCATTTTAAGTCAAGTATTTCAAAATAAGTTGAAAATGTTTTTTTCCTTGCCAATCGTGATTTTATCAAGATTGACTCAATGTTGATTTGAACTATTATACGGAATGTAAAAGCTTTTATGCAAACTCTTTCCGAGCACCTGATATCACTAACAATTCTTGGTGATACTCCGAGAATAGGTTTCCATGTTATTGTTTACTTTGATATATCCCTTATTACACTCGTTTCATGATGCTTGTGGGTTTCTACTTTTTAAAATGTCTTCTGGTTTTTTTTTCTAATGTTTGATCTTTTATTTGTACACTGTCTTAATTTAAATTTTCGACTGCCACCAGTTCCGATTCTACTCTATATGTTAATACAAAATTAGTAGTGTTTATGTTTATTGTTTCAATGGTAACGATCTTACTTACCTTAGTATTCTAGCCAGAATTCAAATTCCTTTAATTTCACAGTATTAATCAATATTCGACCTTCTGTTTTCATTCATTTCAAATATTAACGAATTTTGCTGTTTAAGCACATACATCTTTATGATTTAATGAGCTTTGACTGCTTTGTTTAACACGATCAAAATAAGTTAATTACAATAGTCAATTGTTACAAAATGTTATCTTCAATGCATTATCAACGATATTACATAATAGAACACTGACGGGTTAAGCAATACAAAAGATGACATTCATACAGCTTAAAAAAAACATACATCATATAAGCATATTAGTATACATACATTACGATAACGATCTAATATTCAAGTACAGATGTGTGACAGGCTATATATATTACTTTCAGTAATTCATTTCAACCCAATGCCAGACTTTTTGTCGACTCTGTTCATCTTTTTATGCACAGCTACATATATAAGAATGATTGTATTTATTGCATTTAAGGGTCGTGCTTTTTTCGAAATTATTCGTACTAAACTCAAGTTTAGGACCAATTAGGCATACATATCATGCATTTGCAAGGTCGATTGGAAAAGAAAGGGTTATTTAAACTCATAAGTCGAAAACAAAACCGGATGTCAAGTTGGTTCAATATTCAACATCCAACATTCAGCGTTCATATTATTATTATTTTTTTTAAACATTTTCTTTTTTCAATTTTTTTTTTTTTTTTTTCAACATTCAACATTCAACATCCGTTTCTTACAATCAACATTCGTTTCAAACATTTAACATTTGTTTTTTAACATTCGATTTCAACATTCGTTTTCAACATTCAATATGCGTTTTCAACATTCAACATTCGATTTCAACATTTAACATTCGTTTTCAACAGTCGATTTCAATATTCGATTCGTGTTTGGACAAGTCATTACAAAAGCTTTCGATGCCCATATTGAGATAGATTTATTAACATTTTGTTAAAAAAGAAATTGAGGGATTAGAATGTTGAAAACGAATGTTGAATGTTGAAATCGAATGTTGCAAAACGAATGTGGAATGTTGAAAACGAATGTTGAATGTTGAAATCGAATGTAGAAAAAAAAATGAAAACAAATTTTGGATGTTGACTGTTGAAATCGAATGTTGAATGTTAAAAACGAATGTTGACTGTTGAAATCGAATGTTGAATGTAATGTTGAAAACGAATGTTGAATGTTAAAATCGAATGTTGAAAAACGAATGTTGAATGTTGAAAACGAATGTTGAATGTTGAAAACGGATGTTGAATGTTGAAAACGATTAAATAAAAATAGAAAAATATTGTTTACCAAAAAAAAAATTGAATGTTGAATGTTGAATATTGAACCAACTTGACATCATAAAACAAAATGGAATTGATTTAAATTTGATTATCTCCCATTTAACAGAAAAATCTAGACTAGAACTTGGTCGTTTGTCTGATAGATGCGATACGTAAGTAATAGGTATGATTATTGTCAAAAGTCTGGATCTAGGGGTTTTGATTTTATTACATTTTTTTATTATATAAAGGCGATGTAAAATATAAGCCTATTTGACATGAAAGGTTATCACGTTTTAAACTTTTTATTAAAATATTATATGAAAAAGGCCACTAATGCAATTGTTTTACTACCGGGAGTAGTCCAGGGATGAACACATTTCTAAAATTAAGTCAACCTTTTCTGTTTTTCTAAAGTCGAAGAAGGTATGATATTCCCATGCCATCAATAAAAAAGCAAAATATAATAATGACAAAGATCATTTGAAAATATAGTTACACGTACATTCATTGGCGCAACTCTGACTCGATGTTTGGAAATTCGTTCGTTCGTTTTATGCTTACTATCGTATTCTATGTGATGCACACAAATTTAGTCTCAATGGCAGTTATACCATATCTTCTAGTTTTTTTTTTTAACATTCTAACATTAACCATGTGTACGAGGTTAACTTTTTTAATTAATTGAAATTTTGTCTTTTTATACTTTCCTTTCCGTGTAAAATAATTAGGAGATATGGTATGATTGCCATTAAGACTAAATTTGAATAAACAAAAAGCATTCTATGTGTGCCCGTCCCAACTCCCATGTAAGCAGCCTGCTATTCAGTAATCGTCAATGGTTACCAATTCAACACTAGATCTTTCAATATTTTTTTATTGGTATAAATATTATTTTGTTATCAGTAAATGAAAACCATACTAAATACTATTCTTATACACATATGGACATTCACGGTTCTACAAACTGTCGATACCTATATTTTTTGCATTGCACAAGGTTATTTTATTTTCTAGCTGTTGATGACGTCTTTACACTATACACTGTATGTTTGATGTGTATTGATTGATATACTGTGTGTTAAAAAAAAAGAAACGCATAGCTCGGATGATTTTTTTCAAAATGCAAAATATATATTTTACAAGGTCAACGGTCAATTGCATCTTCGAGTTTTTACAGGTAAGTTTTAAACTTAAAATGCCCGTTCTTTTGATTTGGCTCTCTGCCACATGAAATTTGCGACTTGCTTAAAGTGCATATGACCTGTTTCGCCGCAAAATTTTGCTAATGTTTTTCACGATAATTTTGTAGTCAACTCAACTGTTACACTTTTGCGCATATAAGGACCAAGTTTGAAGATTTAATTCATCACAACGTTAAAACGCTGCCATGCCAAGGTTGGACCCTGCTATTCGAAATATCGTCATTGGCCGTCTCCAGGCCAGAGTGTCCCAAAGTGAAGTAGCAAGAACTGAAAATGTTAACCTGAGTACAATTTCGCGACTTTGGAACAGATACCAGCAGACTGGCTGTACTTAGGATCGCCAGAGGAGTAAACGACCTCGCCTAACGACTCCTGGACAAGATCGCTACATCCGGGTATTTCATCTACGGAATCGAACCGTTGCCGCAACAGCCTCTGCAGTTGGGATACCAGGATTGAGAAGAATGAGCTCAAAAACAGTCCGCAATCGACTGCGACAACGAGGGCGTATTTTGGACCCGTTTTGAGGCCGTTACATAGACGGAATAGAGTCCGATGGTGCAACAGATTGAGGGGGTGGACATTCCGCAACTGGCACAACTGGCGCAGAATCTGGTTCAGTGATGAGTCCCGTTTTATGCTTCAGAAACGTGATATCGTGTCTACCGTGTCTACTGGCGCATGGATGAACTTTTTGCTTCCTCGTGTGTCCAAGAAGTGGACAGCTTCGGTGGAGGATGTGGGCGGCTATCTCTAATGACCGAAAAACGTAATTTGTACATGTTCCGGTTAATTTAACGGCTCAGAGGTACAAATACGAAATTCTCCAACCTCACCTTATGCATGTTATTGACCGACAGAGGGAGTTATTCTAGCAGGACAATGTTAGGCCTCACACAGCGCGTTTAACAATGGACTACCTTGAGCAGAATAACACCAATGTGCTACCTTGGCCTTCCAAATCACCGGACTTGAATCCTATTGAGCATCTATGGGACCAACTGTATACACGTGTACGCCAGCGTCAACCCTCGCCTAAGACCCTTGATCAGCTCCGACAAATGTTACAACAGGAAAGGCGAGCAATTCCACACAACAACATTAGAACATTGATAGCATCCATGCCGAGGAGATGCGTAGCAGTCTTAGCAGCGAGAGGTGGTCATACACGGTACTAACTTTAATGGCAGCGGACTAATTGTGATAAATTGACTTTTATTCATTAATCTCGAAGGAGTTGACTGTCCTCTTTTCAATCAAACACGTTTTGAATGAATATCTTTATTAGTAATTTTAGAATTTCTATTCAAAATACATGTATTAAAATTCTTAAATATCCATTATGCGTTTCTTTTTTTGCAAAGTATATTTTAGTCTTAGATACATGATTTTTTATTAGTTGTTATTGGATCCGAACTAGCTGCCAGTAACTGAGAGTACTCTCAGATCTGTACTTAGTGTCTTATTAGTTGTGGTGGATGTATAAATACCCTGCCACGTCCGGTCTGTACATGTGTCTTTGTTAGTTGTTTTTCTGCTTTGTATCTATCTCATCAGTAAAGCCCTTTCAAACTTATTTTTATAGTTTGTTCTTATGTTGCACTGTTACACCACTGTCCCAGGTTAGGGGCGTGGGTTTGGCGCCATCAAACATGTTTGACTCCGCCACATTCTTCATGTGTCTGTCCCAAGTCAGGAGCATGTAGTTCAGTTTTTGACCTAGGTTTATGTCTGTCATATTTCTTTTTTGTAAGTTGTTTTGTTATCAATTAGGCCGTTAGTTTTCTTATTTGAAATGTTTCACATTTTTCATGTCGGGACCTTTTATAGCCGACGAGACGGTATGGGGTTTTCTCATTGTTAAAGGCTATACGATTGCTTATAACTGCTTACATCCACTTCATTTGAACTTCGGTAGATAGTTGTCTCATTGGCAATCATACCACATCTCTTTTTTTAAATTGTCGTTGGTTACTGTCTGTCATATTTGTTTTCAATTATTGTTTTGTCACAAATCCGGTCAGTTTTTGTTCGTTTGAATTCGTTCACATTTGTCATATCGGAGCATTTTATAACTGACTTTTCGGTATTGGATTTGCTCATAGTTGAAGGCCGAATGGTAACCTATAGTTAGCTTGAATCGGCTTCATTTTGGAAACTATATTGGATAGTTGTCTTATTTGAAAACAAAACACACCTTCTTATACTGACGGGAAAACCAACAGTGGATGTAATACTTTACTAAGTAATTTTATTTTATTCTTCGTTAGAAACAATTAAAGTATTATTCTAATTAAACTCGTCCAAAACTAGACCAATACAGAATTTTTGAGATTAAGTATATCAGTACTTTCTAATTTAAGCGTTCAATTTGACTTTCTACGTAATTTTGAAATCCAAATACACGAATCACAACGGTACGATCGTGTTGTATCAATGTCATATCAATGATAAAGATCTGCCCTTGTCCAGCGGATATCTAGCGTGAAGTCGACCTATATCCTACACGAAGGGATACAGGAATGGCTTATTACTAAACCAAATTAATTCAAATACATTTGTTCATATTCCTAAATATTTCTTTTTGATATCGTACTTTTTATTATGTTTCCTTTTGTTCTTTGATGTCCGTGAACCATTGATTGGCCTACATCAATTTCAATATGTAAAAACTTCCAACCAAAGAAAGATCTGGATAAAAGCCTTATTGGTCTTTGTCAGTACCGAATAAGCATGAAATTTCAAAACAAACTAAATTGACCGACATTTTTTCATGCTGTTAAACGTAAGTACTAGGACGTTGGTGCCAGGCATTTTTGGTTAATATGGTATATATTTGAAATTTGATTGTAACAGTTAATCAATTGGAAGGAACAGTTGTTAGAACAAATTTTTAATTAATTAGAAAGAACATTGTTCAATGGTATTTTTCGTAATTTAACAACAGATTTCTCATGAATCGAGCTCGAAAGATGAAATGTAAGCCAATAACTGACAATAGAAACTCGTTCAACAAGTGGCGACTGAAATAATTACAAGCGCTGGCCCCAGCGCCATAAAACTTATATTTTCTCAGACAATCTCGGCGCAGAGTTCATATCCGTTCCTTACATGCTCCGCAATTTACACTCAATATTAGTGTAGTGTTACGTAGTATTGAACGGAACGGATATGATGTCTGCGCCGGAGATTGATTCTCAGAATGAATTATATTACTCAGTTAAGAATGAGAACTTTTTGTTCTGCCATAAAACCATATTCTCAACATTAAGAATATTAACAGCTGAGAATCGGTTACACCTAAAATCTTTTATATATACCAATGAAAGAAAGTCTTAGTGGTAATTTTCAAATAAATTTCGCTTAAAAGGTTTTTGAGAAAAAGACAATTTAAAGATAAATCATTCAATGTATTTTGTGATATTTACGTACATTCTCTACATCTATACGTATTTCTACAGATCATTCAATTTGCTTTATCTCCTTATGTATAAAGTTACTTATATATTTTTTCCAATATTCCCCCTGACAACCGATCAGACAACAGTTTTAAGTTGACTAAAGGCATACAAGTACATGATGCTCATTAGCTAATAGATACATTTGTCTTTTAAAATACAACTGGTATATAAGAATCGTAATGATGCTATGTGGATAAATTTATCGGTTTTCAAGAGCTAAACTGACAGCGCGTCATCCCTACAATGGCTTCCATTTTTACGATTGTAAAAATTAGGTGGCGTAGCGGGGAGATAATTTTGACGAATTAGAATCCTGACTGAATAATCCAAAATCAAATTGAAGTAACATGAAACTTAATTTTTTTATATTTTGTATCAAAGTTGGCACCCTATCAAAGTTCTGGGAAATCAGTGAAAGAACATCGAATGCACCTAACAAGGGAATTGCTTTAATCTTGATTGGTAACATCCTTGATTTTTTTTTACCTCTTTGGCAATAATGAAAAACATAAAAGGAACCTATGTTAGATAAAATCGCAAGTAGCATTGTATAAGCATCGACCCTCTATCATAGAATTATCGCTATAAAACGCGGGACATGGATGTCGTTGGGTTGCTGTCACATAGACATATACCCCACATATCCTTTTATTCACATATACATGAGTATACTAAAATGTAGGTGATTTCCAACAAAAACTAGAGGCTCTAAAGAGCCTGTGTTACTCACCTAGGTCTATGTGCATCTTCAACATTGTAGACAACTGTTCAAAGATTCTCTCTATCTTATTTAGTTTTTGTCCAAAACACAAAAGAGGGTAAACAAAATTGTCATTTAAGGGCAATCACTCCTATCTACTAACTTTACCGGCAGAATTTTACCTGATTTTTTATCTTGCCTTGCTGATCATTCTTTTATTTAAAGTATCTAGATCTATCTTTTATAGTTTTCAAGATCATAGTAAAAAATGCAAAACATTGGTAAAAATTGTCATTATAGAGCAATAACTTCCATCACCAGTCAACTGAAGAATTTCGGCTATAGACTTATTTGTAGATCTTGTCTTGCTGATCTCTTTTGCTTTTTAAAGTGTCTCTCTATCTATTATATCTTTAAAGAAAATAGGCAAAAAAGGAAAAAAGTAGTAAAATTCATCATTTTAGGTCAATTACTCCTATAAGAAATCGATGACAGTTTTGACGTGAATGAGCAATACGTAGAGCTCAACATTCTGAACAATTCTGCTCCTGTCAGATTTTTTCTATTTATAACGGCTTTCCAAAAAAAAGACAAAACCTATTTTTTTCCCTATGTTATATTTTTAGCCATGTCGGCCATCTTGGTTGGCAAGCGGGGTCATCGTACACATTTTTTAAACTAGATACCCTAATGATGATTGTGGCTAAGATTGGTTAAATTTGGCTAGGTAGTTTCAGTGGAGATAATCTTTATAAAAGTTAACGAACGACGGACGACGACGACGACGACGACGACAGACGACGGACGCCAAGTGATAGGAAAAGCTTACATGGTCTTTTAGAATAGATGAGCTAAAATAGAGTATGGTCAATTTCCATTGAAGTTATTTCACACCATTTTCAAAAAGTCTTTCAATCTTTACTTAAATTTATAGTATCACAGCATTGTGCGTACTTTTGTAATGGTATTATTATTGCTTATTTCAAAACAGATCAGCAAATTATGAGCCCCTGAAGATAGCCCAAAACCTCAATTTTGACAGATTTTGACAAAATTAGTGTTGAGTATTTATCCTAAAATCATGAATGAGAGGGACAATGTTAACCAAAACAAAAATTATGTTGGAAGTAAATATATGTATGTTCTTTCGGGTGCAATTTAATTCGTCTTGATTAGTGACGTTCTGCAAATTTTAACAAAACACTATTAACAGTTGTTATTTTATATAAAAATGTCTTCAATAGCAACATGTAACCATTTTTTTATACTTAAATATGGTTTTTGTTATACTAAAAAAATTAAGAATATTCTTAATCTTGAGTAAGAACAAATCTGATTTTTTTATGGCGGTGTATTTTGCTGAGAAAAAGTTAAGAAAATTTTCAGGCTGAGCAAAAACAAAGCACTCAGAAAGTTTTATGGCGCTGGGGCCTGATCTATAATCGGATCACGAATTTCAAAGGTATCTTTAATTGCGTTGTAAAATGGATTTAACACATTTAACTCTTACAATTAAAGTTGTACTGTTATATAATTTAGAATAGTTTTTGTTGTCTTACGTTATCAAATAAATATTACACAATACGCATGCAAGTGGATGGGGTTTACAGAATAGAGAGTAATGGGCACAAAATATAAAGAATAGAGAAAAATGGACCAAAAAAAATCAAAAATAGAGAATAATGAGGTGCTAAAATATAAAGAATAGAGAATAATGGGCAAAAAATATAAAGAATACAGAAAAATTGCCGAAAAAAAAATAACGAATACAGAAATGAAGGTTCCCCCCCCCCCCCAAAAAAAAAAAACCCTCATGCAAAGTAAATCCACGTGTCATATTTTAATATTTCATAACTTTTTTCATGATTACTATGAATTCGCCAAATCTGTAATCATAATTCTATTCTTGACCTTGTCCTTTGTAAAGGACCACAAGAAACAGGTGGTGATATTACATGATAAATATCTTTATCTTATCTAGTGTAATAATTTTAATTTAATTTGAATTTGATAGCCATGAAGTTGTGTATTGTTTTGTTTGCTTTATTTGGTAAGTGTAATGATTTATTTATTTTCCATTTACATCTATCCCTATAAAAGGTTAAATATTCGTCCAATTGTGGTTTGTTTATTTAATTTATCTTTTTTTTTTTTCTTTCGTGATAGATGATTTACCTCTAAAATTAGTTTTTTTTTTAACCCTTTTCCATTGAACTTTATTTATTAGAAAATATTTGTTCCATGTTAGAAATTTGACAGTCATCATTTGAATAAAATAGGATTTTATTACTGTACTATTGTGTTGGTCTACTTTATTCAGTATATTCCGAAGTACGATGAATGATATTGAGACGTTAACCAAACAAATGTAATTATAAAAGTGAAATATTTGAATGATCACATTCAAAAAGTTTTATTTTCATTGATAGTGAATCCCCCCCCCCAAATAAGGAAAGGTTGGCAACCAAATTAAAGCGAGAAATAACTATGACAATTCTTCAAACAGAGCATCTAGCCGAAAAGTTGGACAAACTTGAGCTACTAAGCTATCTGAGAGTTTTTTTTAGAAAAAAACTAAAGACCAATTGTAACTTATTTCGACACATTCCGTCATAAAGAAAATGATTGACGAAATAGAGATTTCAAAAGAGCACTTAAGTTAGATAAATCCTTCCAATGCCAATAATGATATCGTTGGTTAATGTAATTTTTGATAAATTTCAGAGAAAGTGTTCAAGTATTATTTGAACGTCACTGATTTTGACGTTTTTGGTAGGTTCGGGTGTACAAGATATACTGCTATGCGATTTAGCATAACACACGATGAATTCTTCATATATTCAAATGCAAAGAAAAGGCAAGAGTAGTACACCGTTGTTGTTTTTTATACGACTTTTCTGTTATCTTAAGGTCAAAGACCATCAAAACGATGTCTCGTCTAATAGTATAACACATTGGCTACCTTTAAACTTTTGTAGTGTCGATTTTAGTCTTATTCCTGGTTTTGTATCGACTATACTGACTATATCGATAGACTATAATATGTATCGCCTTAAAAGCTGTGATTTGTAATCTAAAATGTTAGGTTTGCAGTGGAGAGTAGCTTGACATAGTGTATACACACCTATCAGTTTTTTTTTTGTTAGAGATCGTACATTGACATTTACATTTCTCTTTGATTTGTTTTTTGTTCCCGTTTGGTTATTGTTCGCCCAACGTCTACTTATATTCATGCTTGGACTGATTGAATTAACTTCAATTGAATTTTCATACATTTTAAAATTAAGATGTGTTCTGTCAGAGTTAAAAAAGAAATAGAAATTGTCTAATTTTTAAATACATGTATATATCTATATAAAAAAAAATTACTGGTGGCATCTTTATGGATAGAACTCATTACAAAAATGACAATCACACATTTTGATCGAAAACAACAATTATAACTGTTTCACTGAATACAGTCCTACTAATATTGTAGCATATTACATTGAATCGCATATTTCTTCTAATCTTCATATTTATTTCTCAAACTTTTTAACCAATATTTTCGACCTTTGTATTATTTTTGTGTTTAACAATTGACTGCTTCTTTTTATAATTGTATTGGGGTGTAAAAGCGTTGACGAAGCACATTTTGTATGATGCGCGGAAGCGCTTCAGATTAAAAATTTGAACACGATTATTTAATATGAAGCGTTCGATGAAATTTTATAAGAGTTATATCAAGCTTTCTGTTAGTTTTTCTAAGCATTGTTTTAACATAGTCGTGGATAGCACGTGCAGTTATAGCTGCTGTTTTTTATACGGAAATTAAGTTTGATATTGCAGAACATTGCGATTGTTGTCAGCCAATCAGAACTACGGATTCTAATGAAACATACAAACAAACAAACAAATCATGGCGCCCAACATCAGCAGAATAATTACAATTTAATTTTTCAAACATAATATATAAGAAAAAGAAAAATAGGTTAAACAAATTATAACATTAGTTTTGACTTAATCGATTAACTGTAAGTTACATCTTATATTAAGGTGAATGAAATAAGTAATTTGTAATAATACAAAATATATATCATATGATATGACCCATTGTTTGTTACTCTAGACCCTTTACTGGACAGCACACCTCTATGTACCAGCATTATCAATTAAATGTAAATAATGTAGATGCATATATGATCATATATATATGTATCTATAACTCTATACAAAGTAATTTAAGTGAATATTGTACTTCTATTTGGATTTAAGGTGGTACCAAACACCTCGACTAAAATTAATTTAGCTCGTTTAATTTTCATAAAATTTTGACAAAATATTTACTTTGACTTTTTGACAAAAAATATTAAAAAATCAAAAAAACTGGAACCACACACTTTATCGGAAAAAATTCATTTGATATATAGCAGTTTGACAAACACTAATTTTGATTTTTACAGAGTTATCTCCCTGTAGTGTTATAACCTCTAATAATTGACAAATTATTGTCAAAATGTTTTTATCTTCATTTTCCATTAACCAAATAAAAAGAGATTTGTAATCATTTTTTTTTTAAATTTGGCCCACCTAGTAGAAAAAAATACTTATTAATTTCCATTTACAGTTGTGTTTCTTCTATTATAACAGCTGTTGTGTTATTAAACAGTAGATTATTCAGAGGTTTATGAATTTAATTTTTATGACATTAATTACCAACTTCTAGCTTGAGAATGGGACCCTAGATGCCAAATAATAAAATAAAAAATAGTTTGACATAATGGATTATTTCCTACTTTTATAGCTGTTGGGTTGTCCCTTGACCCAAACTGCCTGAGAGCATGTCCTATGATTTACATGCCAGTATGTGGCAGTGATGGAAAAACATATTCAAACAAATGTGTGATGGGATCAGCATCTTGTGAGTAAGTACAAGTAGTATAAAAGCACCGTTGAAAGTGCATTACCTGATGAAAGATTACACATAAGAACACTACACTTTTTGCAAAACGGTCACAGCACGATTAGAATAAACGAAATCACTCCATTCTTCCAGTATATATAAGGATTTATAACTAACATACGTCCTTGGTATTCCTTAATCATTTATGACGTTTCTGTGTGTAATCTAAACCGAAGTTCAGTCGCCATTATTACAGTGTAGGACGGCTGAGCATTTGATGTAATTTAAGCCTGATTTTAGTAACTGCAATAAATCTTTAATACTGTATTGTTAATTATTGTTTTGCTTGTTGTAGTTGGGTTTTTTTGTTGTTGTGTGTACATAGAAACTGAAGTAAGGATGATTTTCTTGCTAATTAGAATATAAAATAAAAATTATATTCTGATCATATTTTTGATGGACAGAATTATTGTTAGTTGGTTAAGGTGGTTTGATCAAGCATATGCTATTACAGTTAAATGTTTTATTTTTTTGAGAGTTTTAATATCCCATTTACCAGAATCAAAACGTACATAAGTTGGTGTTTCGTGCTGTCAATCAAGATATAATTGCGAAACTAGCGGTAACAAACCACTCTCGCAAAATTTTGCATTTTACATTGTATTTGTGTATCAAACGTTGCAATATTCAATCAGACGAGAACATAGGGCAGTTTATTCTAAAATCAGTGTACAGTTTACCTATAACACATAAACAATTCATACACATCAACAATGACTTGTATGAAGAAAGTGCATACTTTATAAACAATTCAATAATAGCAAGATAACTATATGAGGAGTCAACTCCTGGCGAATTGTGATACATTTGTAATTACATTTACTGTTGCTCTTTAATCTCAGATGATTCAAATATATCAAAAGATAGAAAACATGAAAAACAAATTATACAAATAAGGGTCTGGATGGAGGTCTTTATTTCTATATTCTTTAAATGTTTCGGGCATATTTCTGTTTTCTTTATTTTTTGTACATAATTCTCTATTTTTTATTTTCATTTGCCCATTTTTTTATAGTATGTTGACCCCATTCAAACCGTCATAAACAATATTGCTATGGAATCAAATGGTATAAAATGAATTTTATAATATGGTACTGAACTCTTAAATACAAATTTAAGGTTATATTAAAGAATATAATGGATTTTTTTCAGGATGAAAACAGAACTTACAGTAGTAAGCAGCGGTCCTTGTGTTGTTGCCACGACACCTGCTCGTAAGTGAATTCTATTAATAGTTCACCAGATGATAAAAAAAATGTACATAAAAAGAGCTTTTAAACAAATCGCAAATCGCTTTTAAACATGAAGATATGATTGCTTTACAATATTGGATTTGAAAATGTATGTCTTTTAAAAGTCATTTGACACTGTCATATATGACATTAAGTAAAATACTGTAAATTACAGTAAGTTTCAAGATTAGCTTTCTGTCTCATTTGCCAGTAGTCAAGGAAACGGGGACGATCGGTTTACATCAATGAGACATAAACCCTACAACACTTAAAACCAAAAACAGTGTGTTTACTTTTTCAGAGACAAATTTGCGATTATAATTTACTTATTTCAGAGAATTATATTAAAATGAATTTTCGTATTCGTAGTTAAAGTTGTTCGCAGCTGAAGTTGAAAATAACAATATTTTCAAGAAAAAGTCTTTTTCCAAAAGATAATGAAAAATATATCTTAATTATGAAGAAATTAATTAAAGGTCCGGATGAATGTTTAAGAATAAAAAGCATTTTGAAACTAAGAATTTTTAATTGGGAGAGAGTTGTCTTTGCGTTTTTCATATTCAATGTAATAAAATGTCGTCATTCACCCCGAAAGCTAACCAAACCTTTAAACAGACTTATTCAGAAGAGATATAGTTACGATACTGTTGTCAGGTCATTAAAGATGGCATATTTTGAATTAATGTTGTTTCACTCATGAGTCATTGCATTGGTAATAAACACATTTATTCAAACACCAGTTGTTGGCATCATACGGGTTATGTTCTTCTCGTATATATTGTGCTTCATTCTCATATGATAAAGATCGAATCTTTCAATCAGTTTAATTGAGGTCTGGAGCTGGCATATTAGTAACTGCTAGTAGTCCTTTGTTAATTTATGTATCATTGTCATTTTGCTTAGTTTCTTCTGTTACCTATTCTACCATCGGACTCGGACTTCTTTTAAACTGAGTTTTACTGTGCGTATTGCTGTGTGTTTGTTTATTCTACATTGACTAGAGGTATAGGGGGAGGGTTGAGATCTCACAAAACATGTTTAACCCCGCCTCATTTTTGCCTCTGTCCAAAGTCAGTAGCCTTTGTTTGTATTGTATGTTTTTTTTTTTAATTTTGGTTCATTTATATGTTTTGAGTTTAGTGTGACGTCCATTTTCGCTGAACTAGTACATAGTTTTGTTAAGGGGCCAGCTGAAGCCCGCCTCCGGTTGCGGGAATTTCTCGCTGTGTTGAAGACCCATTATTGGCCTTGGGCTGTTTTCTGCTCTTTGGTCGGGTTGTTGTCTCTTTAACACATTCCCCGTTTCCATTCTAATTTTATAAGAAAATCAACTAAAAAATTCTAAATATTTAACAAGAATTGTGTTTGAGATTGAGACGTTTAAAAATATCGCGACGTATTTAGGTTGAACGAAAAACTTTTCTAATACGTATACATAGCTTAGGAAAAATCAAAAGGGGGTTACAAAATTCCGTATTATGGAGACGTTAAAAATATGAGAAGCTAACATTATTAAAATTATAATCTAAGAAGATTTGAATAATTTGTGCGTAACATTTTTGTTTTTGTTTTAAAAGCAACACAAGCCCCTAAGATAGACACACAGTGCCTCCGAGCTTGTCCATTCATTTATTTCCCTATCTGCGGAAGTGATGGAAGAACATATGGTAATACTTGTGAAATGGAAGCAGCTGCTTGCATGTAAGTATTGCTCTTTTGACAGTCAACTATTCAAAGGAAACAGGCTTTATGACGCAGTATTCTCAATTATGACTAAAAATTAATCTTTTGGCTGTTTTTCCGGCACTTATGAATACAATGAGATATGTGATATAATTCCCTGAGACAGCAACCCAATAACAAAAAAAACAAAAAGACATTTGAAGTTCAAATATTGTTCCTATGACGATGTTATGGTTTTGTATTCATAGTTCATATTGCATGTCTGTTTTCCAAAATATCGGGGGAAAAAACACAAGAGCACTTTAACATGACCTTTAGTAAAAGAACTTCTAGAGATTGACCATCAGAATTAAGTTCATAAATACATGACCAATCCTACAAAAATGTTACAAATTCGATTTCATAGACAGTGATTTTCTTTTGATTTTTTTTTTTAAACAAGAATCACATTATTATAAATATAAGAGATCGGGTTCAATGACACTGCAACCCATAAGTTGAATTACGTTGGGAGAAAAAAAGACTAAAATAAATTGTGGATTGTTCCGAGACGGGATAATTTGCATATAATTTAAACATAAACTATCAAACACATGTCACCAACATCAAATTCTTTAACTGGCTACACTAATTTTAAAGATGTACTCGAAGAAAATAAACACATAAGCGACCGATGAGATCAGCGTCTCCTTAATTCTAGCTGTATTTGTTTAATATTTGTGCTGAAACATTATTTTGCTATTATGTATACTGTCATTCAATTATTTTGCTATTATGTATACTGTCATTCAATTATTTTGCTATTATGTATACTGTCATTCAATTATTTTGCTATTATGTATACTGTCATTCAATTATTTTGCTATCATTTACTGTCATTCAATTTTTGTTTGGTTCTTTTTGTGCATACTCATGATAAAATGTTCAACAACATTTTCAATAAATTATTTTACATAATTTGAAAGTAAGCTGACACTTAAGTCCAATTTTAATTTTCTTACACTGTTTAGCTAAAGCAAACACAAATGCTAGTGTTAACAAGTCTCATAACGCATTAGTGCGTGCGTTGCAATTTCGCCATTCTTTTGTAAAGAAGAGTTTTAAAGATCTTCTTGTCTGCATGCAACCAAGGATTCCTTTGAAGTTAAATCTGGTGCGAGTATAATTATATATGTGTATATAGAATGCAAACGGGGAATGTGTCAAAGAGACAATATCCCGACCAAAGTGCAGAAAACAGTCCAAGACCACCAAGGGTTTATCTCATGATTTCGGTCGCCTTTATGTTGCTCTAATTTTTCTGTGTTGTGTTTCCTTGGGTTCTTGTGGTTTTTTCCCTGTTTAACTTCGAATTTTTGATAGCCACTTGTAACCTGCGACAATCCATCACAGGTATCAGATACAATTTTAAATTGTAAGTCGTTTAATGGCATAATACATTTTTTATACACTTTTAAAATAGTGACTTTGTGTAATTATGAGGAAATAGATTGAGTTGCAAGTCCTGTAAAAACGCGTCGCATCATTCACCACATGTATTGCTTAATTTATGATTATGTTTATTATTGTAGGGCAAAGACTACATTGACAATGGTAAAACAAGGTCCATGTCCATAAACAATAAACTGATATAGATTTACTATTTATTGTTGTCTTATGAACATCTTAAGGATGTTATTTGGTAGATTCATAATATTTTAAGATTTTCGAATTCAAGTGGCCAAAAAAGTGGCATTATCATACCTTTTCCTTTATAACTTCTCTCATATTTATCTTAACAAATTACGGGTTTTCTTGTATGTTCCCGGCAATTAGGGTTGAGAGCGAAGACTGGTCAGAATAGCTGTCCAGTTAGGGTGACAGGTCTTCCTGCAGACTGTTATCTTGTTAGGTAGCACGTTAAAAAATTCCGGCTCAGATCGTCGGAAAAGGACAAAGCAGGGTTTGCATTCATATTATATTATCATGTTCTCGTCCTGAATATGCATTCAATTTGCCGCTGGACGATGAACAGCCATCCATCCATCCATTTAAGTTTTCATCCCAAATATCAATAATTGGTCAGTGCCGGGCCATTGATTGTTTTTTTTTTTTTATCTCAAAGATCATGTCGCCATAATTGCAAAAACAATATGTTGCGTGGTCTCAGTAGCACCTTGACCAATAAGAAAGTCCATAACATGTGTAGTTTCCTAAATGCGAGACAATCTCGAAGTCTGTCCATTTACGAGGTTTATAACTCTTTATCTATTTCATTTTCTTTTAGTTCAACACTTTGATTGACTTTCTCAATGGTGGTGTAGGTGGTATAGTGTATTCTATTATTATCATTATTTTCTCTAGATATATCAATGTATAATTCAATATATCTTCCCACTAATCATAATGAATGAATTATTAATTCTGAATTAATATTTCAACGAACATTGCGTAGATGATCCTATACGGATTATATATTTTCGAAAGGTAAAAATTGGAAAGTTTTATTATTTCCACATCTTATCTCGACCATGGTATTTAAAGAAAACAAATGAATACGTTGTAGAAAATTACATATGTACTGCGTCATTTTAATTTCGAAAATAACATATGTGCTGTGCGCTATTATGATGTCATGAATTTTGTTATTGATATATATAGAATAATACATGGCAGAATCCGTATCGCATGCTGTATCACCACGAGAAACCAATATCGGTCCCGAGGGCCGAAGGTCCCGAGGGCTGATATTGGTCAAGTGGTGATACAGCATGCGATACGGATTTTGCCATGTATTATTCTGTTTATCATATATTTTAATAGAATCAGATTCATGGGATATCTATTTTTTTAAATCGTCCGAAATTATAAGCTAGAAAAGAACATTATGATTTTCCTGTATTTTTCCAGCTGACTTGTTGGTTTTTTTTTTTATAGACTTCCTTATTTGCTTTATATCCACATCGTAATGTCCCCTATAACCTTTTTTCATTCTCAATATACGTTATTAAAGACCATGTATTAAAATGCATCCACTAACGATACTGTCCTATTATTTCAACTAAAATTAATATTTATCAAATACATATCATAAGATGTAGAAATGTTTAAAGTTTTATTGTTTATTTGGCGATGATATTATTTATGATCATTTTAATTTTCTGACGAGGTGAACAGCAAGAAAAATATGTCTTGAAAAGTTTGCTATCTATTCTAACCAAATTAAAATCGTAAAAATTTGCATTTGTGTTTAATCCATCAGGTAATGAAAACAAACTTCACGAAAATTATGACCAAATAAACAATAAAACTTCAGATATTTCTACATCTTATTGTGTCTTTTTTTATATATATATATATATATATATAAAAATCGCTCGTAAAGTTACTGGATAATAATTTTTTGAAAAATATGTTTTTTAGTTGAAATCATTGGACATTTGTTTTAGTGGGAACTCATTTTTTTCCTTTGCCAGGAAATACAGCAACTGGACGTCATATGTCAAACGTTGACGTCATTCGAATTATGACGTCACGCCAGGTATGCGATACGGGTTTTGCTATGCGATACGGGGTATGCGATACGGGTTTAGCTATGCGATACGGGGTATGCGATACAGGGTAGGTGATAAAGACTGGAAAAAAGAACCTTTATTAGATATACAAAATTGCTGTATTTTGTACTAAATATATGATAAATTTTGATCTCTTTGTATAATCGTGCAGTGGGTATATAGAATATAGATGTACGTTAATTCCGATATGTCCCGTTTAGAGAGTGTTACTCGTCACATGCAAGAAATCTTTAACAGCATTTCGGAATGAGGATTTATTGACATGTCGTGGGGAAAAATCTACTACTCGTTTTTATTTTCTAATGAACACCGCTATTGTCCGACTATCGTCCTAATCAGCTTTGCATAACTCAATTATCATATAGTACATGTGATGAATAAACTTGAAATGTTTGCCATAGAACATCAAGCAAATATCAATCCATCAATTTAATCAATCGCTCTGTTGTATTACAAATTTTTGACTACTCATAATCGGTAAAAAAGTTCAATGATAAATGCTATTTTGTAAGACATACATACAACTTTAACACGTTACACAAAGAGAAAAAACTTTCGAATAAAATAAGAACATCCAATGAGACAATTATTCAATGGACGTGGATTTAAGCAACTATAAGTTACCGTTCGACCTTCAACAATGAGAAAAATCCACACCGTACAGTCAGCAATAAAAAGCCCAGACATGAAAAAATGTGAAACAATTTAAGAAAGTCAGATGCCTGATTTATGACAAGAAATAAACGAAAAACAGACCAACGATAACCACTGAATAGACCACTTTCGAGTTCGTTGCATTTCCGTTAAAAACTTTGATTTTAGTGAACATCATTCGTTAGTTTAGGGGCATCGTCACTTCCTTCTCATGTTGAGCGAGCGGTTGAAAAAAATATGACGCTACATTGCATGAATTATTCGGCAAATTAAATTCTTATAATTGATAATCAGTACTGCTGTCATCAGGGAAGTGTGATTAAGTACCTACGGAATAAACATTATTTCTAGTTTATCCTGCATAATGGCGATCACAAAGAGGCTTGATGAACTTTAATAGTGCAGGGATACAGGCGGTTCCCTCTATCTGGAAAATGACGTCATTAAGTCGCGCATAATTGACGAACTTTTCCGGTGAAGGACATAACTCGAAAGTGGTCTATTACAGGCTTTTAACTTGGAACAAGCACATGTATAGATTGAGGTGGGGTAAAGGCATGGTGTATATACATGTATGCATATAACAGTCAGAATATATTTGATAAACTTGCATATTTGTTGAAGGCCATCAATCTTTTTGTATATAAGGAAAAACCATTAACAAAAAGAAAGGTAACATCGCCACATTTTTAGATATTCACATATCATAACATAGATACTTTAAAGAAAGTTTGGAACAAGATACATTCAACGTAGGATTAAAATATGTATATGTTTTTGTAAATGTAGGGTAGTTGATCTACTAGTATCTAATTCAACCAAAAACTAAATCTGTATCTGCAATCAAATTATGCTAAGTGAATAGGTAATAACACTGCAACTGTTTTCTGCAATCATAATCCAGAAAGAACTGTGCAAACCGTTGCTAGAAAATTTATACATCACTATGAAACTACACATATTCCGGATTGTTTCCGCTGCATATCTGAAACAACAAAAATATGATCATATATTTATGAACGCTATAGGTGACTGCTTTTCTCTTAATATTAGTGTTATTTATATAGATTTTCCAGTTATTTCTTAATGTACTAATCAACTATATAATATACCTTATACCTAAAAATATTCTTAGATCATTGAAAATTTATTTTTATGCCCCACCTAGGGGCATTATGTTTTTCGGTCTGTGCGTGCGTTCGTCCGTCAGTCTGTCCCGCTTCATGTTAAAGTTTTTGGTCAAGGTAGTTTTTGGTGAAGTTGAAATCCAATCAACTTGAAACACATGTTCCTTATGATATGATCTTTCTAATTTTAATGCCAAATAAGGGTTTTGACCCCAATTTCACGGTCCACTGAACATAGAAAATGGTAGTGCGAGTGGGGCATCCGTGTATAATGGACACGTTCTTGTTTATTTCTATTTTCACTCTTACTTGGAATTTAATATTAGAATTCTTGAAGTGAAAGAGAAAAAGATCGTAGCTCCGATCTTTGATTTTACTTTCAAATCCATATGAGGTCATTCATGGAGATAATATCCATCAAACAAGTCATTGATAAGAAATAAACCAAATTTTTATGATACATTTTGATTTAAAGAGGTAGATCTAGGGTAAGTAATTACTGACTTTAGCTAAATTTAACACAATTTAGAAAAAAAATATGGTGTTCAATTTTCTTGAACTGTCTAATTGCTCTTGAACTGCCTATTTGATTTTGTCTGGGGGTGCCACTGATATATCCTGTGCATACCTAAATATCAGGAATAATTGATGTTTGGCACTGTTCTGTGTAGAGACGTTAAACTTTTAATTCTTCTTTTGTTGCAATTATTTTAAGTTTGAATACAAACAAAATGTGAAAATCAGCAAGACTACAACCTAAGAAAATTCCTTTCAAAATGAAATATAAGCATTAATACCTTAATAAAGTTCCAAGTCGCACGAGTTAAAAGATAAAGTATAAATGGGAAAAAACAAAGACTTTGAAAGATTAATACGCCTAAAGAGAATCAAAATCAACTAAAACCACTGCTGGTCCAAGCTTAAGACATACACATTAAGAATATACAAGTCTCAACTAGTTTTGTGAGTACCGAACTTTCATTTATTTTCTCGATAAGTTAAAATAACAAATGGGGCTTTTTCTGAAACATTAAATCTTGTCCCAAAATATTAAAATTTTAGCTTAATTACAGATTTTTCATATGGTCGAATTTCTTTACTAAAACACAATTTTTAGTTTTTCTTAAATCGAAAATACAAAAAGCAAAACAAAAATGAGAAAAAGATAAGAGTGTGAATCTTATCTAGGGAGCCAGCAGTCTCCAAATACTTTAAGCAGACATAACGAATTTTTAATATAAGAAACATAAAAAAATCGTTTAGATTAAAAAAATAAAATAGCAAATTTATATCAGAAAACGAAATCTGGTTAAATTCAACATCAACAATAAATTACGAATTAACTTAGTGTGTTTGGAATGACAAAGACACAAGACGTTAAAATTATCCCTATCCGTCACTTTCAGGTCATACATCAAGCTATATAAAGTTCTACAGGTAAATTACAAACCCTCTAATGTTTTAGCTATATTAGCTATTGAGTCTGTATGCTCTGCTTTCATTTGTGTTATCATATTCTCATATGTTTCTCTAATTTCTGTAATTGTCTTTTTATGAGTTTCACTTCCATTGTCGATATATTTCTCTAACAATTCAATCCTTTTTTCTAGTTCTCTCTTCTCGTCTTTTAATGAATCCAATTCGTTTTGCATTACTTTTGCATTTGCTCTTGTAAATTTTAATTCTTCACTTTGCTGAATCAAGGTTAGAGAATTTTTATTTAACATATTTTTCTCTCTTTCAAGTTCGCCAAATTTGGCTTCTTTCAATTCCAACTGTACTTCTCGTTGTTTCATCTCTTCCTCTTTTATAGCTAGTTTGCACTTTTGACTTTCTATTTCATCTACTTTTTCTTTAATAACCATTTCTTTGTTCTTAATTTCAGTTTTCATTTCAAGAAGCTTTGTTTCTTCTTTAACAATTTTTTCTTCTTTCTGTGTTAGTTCCTCCTTTTTCTCTTGTATTTCATACAATTTTTCTGTCGTTCTGGCATTGATTATTTGTTCTATTGGTATGTCCTTAAATATAATAAAGTATTTTATATTTCGTTTTCTTTTCGGAAATACGGTATGCAGGAATTTGCATTACTGACCACAGGTTAGAATTGAGCGCTAAGAGATGTGTTTACACCAGTCACATGCTGTATGTACCTAGACCGAACGTATGTAGTTAGTATTAGTCATCTGAGGCTGTCTTTCATCAGATGTTTTCGTTACTTTTTCAGCAAAGATAAATAGTTGCTTGAACCCCCCGCCCCCATTGGCATCTAGTAGATAGTTGTCTAACCGACATTTAGTTAATGTTAAATTTCTTTTTTTTCAGGAATCTCGGTATATTTGTTTCTTCAAAAATAGAAAATATGAAAATACCTTTACAATTTCCATATCGGACCAGAACTTGTTCTTTTAGAAAAAGATTCCAAAATGAAATTGAACGAGTTTCTTTTGACTTCAATTTGATTTTAATATGGTTCATTAGACAATCTCTTGATCATTACGGAAGATAACTCGTTCAATCACACTATGAAAAAGTGGCTTAAAATAAGATTTGAATGGTTTTTTTTTAAAGTCTGTTAATGATAATAGCTTGTTTTTCGTATTTCGATTGTACAAAATTACTTACTGTTATTATCACAAAGCAGGATGTTTTGAAATTACCACACACGCAACTATACTCTCCACTGTTTACCATCTTGATATCTTTCATCTTCAATGTGTACTTGAACAAATTTTCCTTAGAAGTTTTCTTGCAATCTGTCTGTTTGTCGCATAAAATTTGTTTGCCATTTTTCAACCATTTGACATTCAAATCTCTGTTCAACTTGCAACTTAAATGAAGAGTTTCTCCCTTCACCAACTCTAAATCTCTAAGAGCTTTAATGACTTGTAAACCTGAATGTACAATTAATGTTTATAACATAAAAAGGCTATTTTTTGCGCTTTATAGTTGAACGTTTGCATGTATTGAGAGGGACTAACTGCACTTAATGCATTTATAGCATCAGTATATAACGCGTTCCAATTGATGACTACTTTATTATAAAGTAAAATTCTCATCAAAATTCTGTTATATAGGCATGCATCACCTGCCCCTTTTTATTCAATATCAAGTGCAAAGGCAGATAATATGTCAAAACCATTAATAACGTACCACTGGCTGAATTAAGGTTTCACCCTTTAAGCTGAAATCATAAGACACTAGAAGCATCAGCTGATTTACGATGACAACTGTAGAGCATAATATGAGTGATAGCTTAATAGTTCTTTCGATTATTTTCGGAGTGTATTTTTGATAAGTTGAGATAAGTTTGCTTTGAGATATACTTTTTTTTTAAACTGCTTAAAGGAGAAAACAAGCCTTAGGATAAAGACCAAATTTTATCCGTTAATATTGTGAAATTGAGCCGTAAGTGTCATATTTTTAAATAAGAAAATATCACCAGGCAGACTGAGAATATGTGTGTCCATCGTGAATCCTTTCTTAGTTCTTACAAATAATCGACTAAAGGAAGTCATTGATTTTGTCATGATTAAAATGTCCTGCGTTCTCGTCAATAAATAGCAAAAAAAAACTAGATATTATTATTTTTTTGGCATACAAAAACACGCTGCTGATTCATGTTCTTACTCACTTTCACTAAGATAAACTGAAATTTTAAATGGTTGTTCATAACACTCAATAACAAAGTAGCGTATAACAACCATAATGAGAAAAAGCAGTTTATATGTGTTTTTGTTAACAATCAACATGTATGCTTACATAAGGTTTTGTTTCATTAAGTTGTAGAATATGATTCTCTTATAAATAAAAACGAAGCAAAACCTATGCAGGAGTTTTACCTTTATATGTGTTGTATAGATTTATTTATCATTCAAATTTTGCTAAAACAAAATGTCACAAAATTATCAAAATTTGCGTATCGTAAATTATCCTTGTAACTGAAATTAGTTGATAGCATAAACTCAAATGAATCTGTAATCCGTCATTTGTATTATGCAAGTAGATGAATCATAAAATAAATGCATAATATATTATATGGGTGATTTTTTTTTAATTTGTTTCTTGTCTTAAAGTCTTTTAATGTTGACTTTAGATTATACTTTATAAAACAAAGGTCGGTGAAGATATTGACTGTATAGTAGTACAACGATTAATCAAAATAAACTGGTATTCCCTTTGAAGGGTGATGCACAACAAATGATGCTTATGATTTGTAAATATAAATATACTCAACGTAACTATATTTTGTATGTCTCTCTTAAATATGTTAAGTCTGCCCTACCTGCTTTTAGTCTACACTTTGTCTTTGCATAGCAACATTCACACAAATAATCGCCTGCATCCTCTTCCTGTGCATTCAAAATAATCAGCTGATGGGCAAGAACATCATTTTTAAGAGTGTATTTTGAACCTGTTGATAATTCTATTCCATTTTTAAACCACTGAACGGCACGATCATTACTGATTTCACAGGACAAAACAACATCCGTGCCTATTGCATATTCCGAATTTTTTAATTCTGACGTAAAGTAATAATTCGCTGAAACTAATAGAAAAAACAATTCATTTGATAAAATGTAATTATACAGTTATAATTCAACGAAATTATTTTTACGATTGTTATTTGTTTGATTCCACAGTCCGCAGTTTTAATTTTGAAATTCATTCTCAAATTAAAAAAAAAACCCAGATATTATGTCTTTTATAACAGATTTTATAGACCTCCTAAGATATGAGTTACTTGATTTCAAAACAAACCTCATATCGTTATTATTTCAACCGTATCACGACTGGCTTTGATTTAAAATGTAATCTGATCAAATAGTATTGTACTAAAATTTATTATTGATGGGAAATATATAACAATTAATGACCCCTATCAAGTCAGTTAACAGTATGGCATAAGTCTTTATCTTCGTTTGATTAATTATTCAACGTTTAGTTTGATGTATTTATCGTCTTATTTAAATTTTGTTAAAGTCATGTAATGGTATTTAGTTCCATTGTTATCTTGAAAATTCTTTTTTTGTTGGATTTTTAAAATGTGTTTCCCACTTCCTTAATTAATTAGTTAAAACTTGTTGTTAGTTTTGATTTCAATTAATTTGTACTTAACAAATTAAAGCTCAAGGGTTTTGATTTAATCACAATCCCGGTTTTTTTTCTAGATTGAGCAACCCCATACACGACATATTAATTTATAACACGGCGGGTGGCAAAAGATGAGCAGAAGCTTCTCAACCGTCCGGAACTCTTTGAAGATTTTGTTTGACTTTTCATCGTTTTTCTTTTTGTACATGGCGTGTCTGTTTAATTTAGACTTATAGTGTTTTATTGTCGCCTTAGTATTTGCTCCTATATTTCAACAAACGTAAATAATTAGAAAAATTATATCATGACACAGAAAAAGATGCATTATCAAAAGTACAAGAAAAAAGAATCACATAAACAAGGTTGTGAACCTCATTTCAATAATGATAACAAATACACTTATATTAAGTTAATAAGGTTCGATGAACAAGCAATGGAATACAATATCAATAAATTGAAAGTCTTACATTTCTCAAAGAGACGGGAAATGTGATAGAACAATACAAAAAACGTTATTTCATTTGTTTTTATGAGAAGTTTTGGCTGACCAGAATTGACTATGCATCTAACTTCTTACAGCTTTAACATATATTTATATCACAGTGCAATTTACTTACGGCGAACAAGATGTGCTATTCCGCCATTTTCAGTCTGATTAAGTACTTCAATAAATTCTTCGGATTTATCATTAACTTCTATGTAATAAAACAAATCTCGTATTCCCAAATGTGGCGACAAACTACATTCAACACCAAGCTTTTCACTGTCCGATATTATATTTCGTCTGTGCAACTTAAACACAATTTGATTCAGATTTTTGGATAACAATTCCACAATAACATCACTATTTTCTTTAAAACAGTCTTGTATCCTCCCCATAATAAACACATTTAGTGCATGTATCCCGGAAGTTTTAATGTCTCTCATTTAAATAATATCAAATCCACAAATCTTTCACCTATTGGCACTGGTTTTATTAAATTACCAGGGGTTCACCGTAAGCATTAAAACAACTCATTGTATATCTCTACGAGTTAAACTATTTGTTTCACAACTGAATAAATCCGAATGTGCATGATCATATTATTAACTTAGATTCTGGTCATCTAAGGGTCATCTAAGGGTCATATATGACAAAAAAACCATATGATAACCATTGTTCAATTAAGTAAAATCAAGACAGAGTAATCAGCAATTAAAAATGGACGTGCACAACGCGGTTCTTATTGTAGAAATGTATGAGCAAGTTGGTTGAATCCAGCATTATGGTTTAAAGGAAGTTGCGAACTTAAGACAGGAATGACGACGAATCATGTTAGAAGAACACAGACAATACTAGCATACGATGTAATTAATTGCCAGTAACTCCCATCAATGATGCGCGAAAGCAGACGGAGAACATCTAAAAGTCAGTTTTAAAATTGCTTATGTAACAACAATGCTGTTTATAACATAAATCGAGGTTTACATAAAAAAGTTTGTGCTGAACAACTTTAGTTGAATTGTGAACTCCTGTTTCATTCTCATGTTTGCTAAAAAAATTATGAATTTGCTTATCAAACTTATCAATGTCGACAGTCTTAAGTCGGATAATTCAAATGATAGATATAATGCATTAATTGATTTTGCTGTATTTTCTAATTCCCCTTCATCAAAGTTGATGTCGAATAATAGAAGTAATTTGGTTATCTTCTTTACCCATCACAAGATTATTTTTTTATCAACCAGTCAGCCCGACTGTCCGCCCGTCCGTCAACACTTTGTTGTCGCCGACAAAGGTCTATAAATTTTTGAAACCTATGCATGTGTAGTTGATAATTTCCACAAATCAATTCCACGGATCAGTACCATAATGAAAAAAACACGATTTTCGGAATTTTCTCGGGAGGGCTATTTGTAAAAAAATTATACCAGACTTTACGGTATGGGCTTTTCTTATTGTCGTACGGTGACCTATAATTGCTTGTATTATATAGATATAAGAAGATGTGGTATAAGTGCCAATGAGACAACTCTCCATCTAAGTCAAAATTTATAAAAGTAAACCATTATAGGTCACAGTACGGTATTTAACACGGAGCCTTGGCTCACACCGAACAATAAGCTATAAAGGGCCCCAAAAATTACTAGTGTAAAACCATTCAAACGGGAAAACCAACGGTCTAATCTATATAAAAAACGAGAAACGAGAAACACTTATGAACCACATCAACAAACGACAACTACTGAACATCAAATTCCTGACTTAGTGGTCCTGTCATGTGATGTTGTCGTTTTGGTGTTGTGTTTGACGTTGCCATTAAAGCGGGAGGTTTGGCATGCCACAAAACCAGGTTAAACCCACCATTTTTTTCTTAAAATGTCCTGTACCAAGTCAGGAAAATGGCCATTGTTATATTATAGTTCGTTTCTGTGTGTGTTACATTTTAATGTTGTGTTTTTGTTGTGTCGTTGTTCTCCTCTTATATTTGATGCGTTTCCCTCAGTTTTAGTTTGTAACCCGGATTTGTTTTTATCTCTATCGATTTATGAGTTTTGAACAGCGGTATACTACTGTTGTCTTTATTTAGGACAGGTGCAAATAAATGCAGCGGGTTTAAACGTTTCAATGGTACCAAACCTTCACCCTTTTTCTGAAACAATAGTATAACATCACAACATAGAAAGACACACTATAAAATATCAACTGAAATTAACTTAGTTTAAACAATATTTTTTTTGTGAAAATAATAACACAAATATTACAATATGACAATTTTATTAGTATTGGAAAAAATAATTTTACTTTTACAAATCCAATCCCTCTCCTTTATGATATAATAATAGATGAATGGCGTCGAAAATAAAGTATTTTACTAAATTAAGAAGCAATTGTTGACCAAATTCACTACCGTACTACAGTGCTACAATACCACACAGGTTATATAAATATTGATATACGACAATTTATTAGAACATGATTATGTAATTTACTGCATGTATTATATGAAATTCACACGAATCTCTTTGATTTAAGAATAAAATCTTGAATGAGAAGAAAGTTATGAGTATATTAAATGTCGAATATCAAATGATTACCTTACAGTAAGTTATAAATATTAGGCTGACATGACAAGTTAGTCAGCATAAACTCTCTAAGTAATTGGTATTGCGGACAACTCAAAAAAAGTGTTTAAATATTTCAATCTGTCTGCATTTACAGAAAGGATCAGAAACGAAACTTCAATCACTGTAAAAATATTTAGGGACTACATGAGTTTTCTTCGAGAATTTTTTAAAAATAAATCAGGAAGAATTTCTATTCTAATTGGAATCGAAAATATGTCCCAAAGACGGATAGTAGAAGGAAGAAAACTGTTATGATTATAATTCGTTTGTGCAGGTATACGAGACAAGGTACCTGCGTTAGACGGATGTAATTGGCCGACGTTAGTAGGGACTAAATTTGAAAGATAGGATGGAAAGTTATTGTTAACCATCTGTTGAAACAAAACAAATTAAGCTTTTGATTTTTTTCGCCTTTCCCTGAGAGTTTCCCACCAGGTCTCTTTTAAAAGAATGTGTAGACTAGTAAACTTACTAGCCCACCAATTATAGAGCTAAACTTCATTTGAACTCTGCTGGATAGTTGTCTCAATGGCAATCATACCACATCTCCTTATTTGTATAAGAAAATACAAAATATTTTAACTGGTTATCAACACGAAGAAATGTACATTTATATGTTTACTATGGCGAATTCTTCTTGAAACTTGATTAGTTACAGCAATATATGCTGTTTACTTTTACCAAGCTTACAATACAAGACAACAACGTCTTATATTTAAGTACAATAAAGTATACCAAGAGACCAATGCAATGCCGATTTGCTCAATTTGTCCTTTTACTTGCATGTGGAAATTCCTGATAATACGTCAAAGCTGTTTGATTTAATATGGGAAAGTTCCTGGACTATTCGAATCAGAGTTATTATCAAATTTTATCAAGAAACATCTGTCTTATTGTATAAAGCTTTGCATGAGAAGTGCCTTCGCGGATTTTATAGAAAATCTGACATGTTCCAAAGTCTATCCGACGAAAAAGAATAAAAATATATCTTCACTACATAGAAATTAATGAATGAATCAGAGCATAAATTGAAATTCTCAAATCTACAGGAAATGAGGATATCGCAAATTAATCAGGACGCACGTCCTAAATGATTTGTTATTGTTTTATATATTTTGATATTTCAATTAACCTTGAAAGAGCTGATCGAATCAAAAATGACCTAACATATAGCCAAATCCAGGAAAAGGAAACAGAGCTTTGCAGGAGGGACCTTTGAGGCCTAAAATAATTTAAAATGTTTTTTTTTTTTATAATGACGGTGATTGAAAAAAATTCCTGTTATTTGGTGAAAGTGTTGTGGTAGGGACCTTTCAAAATCAATATTAAAAGTTCTGCACAAACTTGCTTCTGCATTTGCCATCTTGATGTGACTTTCATTTTTTTTAATTGTGTTGGGGGGTGTGTATATGTAATCTGCAAATGACTTTTTAAAAAGGAAGTGACCTTTGTAGATGACATTGGAAGTGACCTTTGTAGCTGACATTGGAAGAATTAAGCAATGTCTAACATATTTCCTGACACTTAAACTATTGAGTTGTGTGCTTTTTAACGAAAAGCATGTTCATACATTTGAATAATTATATTATTTACCTTATAAACTGCATAATATGTCAAGCGCTTGATCATCTCATGTGTATTGCTAGCGATCAACATCAAATTATGTAACAGACGAAAGTCTAAGAAGTAGCAAAAAAGACAAGAACTGACCCAGTTCCTGACATGAAACAGGAATCGTTTTATATAACAGCGTTTAATAAGATACAAGATAGTTTACCGATGATAACGTCTCATAAAAGTAAAGTAAAAGTAACCAACCAAAGTAAACACAATAACTTAGATAACGAATGAACTCCAAAAGACATGAGACCGGGTGCGTCGATAGGGCATGCATTCATCAATACTCAGTCAAAATTACACAATGATCTTGAATAAGTTTTAAAATGTGTATTCCTCACTCTTTGTTTGTTTTGATCATTGGAATAAAATATGGTACAAAAACATTTCCCTTTTCAAAAAAAATATCGTATTAAAATAACTAGAACCAACGAGGCAATATAATAAACTTGAAAAAATAGAATTATCTTTAGACACAAAAATGTGCGATAATATTATCTTAATTCCTGTAATTGTAAATTGTCTCAAGATATACAATATATTCTAGCGAAACTTAAACTAGAACCAGGTAGAATGTAAAGTTTTCCCGAACATTTCTATTGTGTTTCGTGCACAGGACAAACAAAGTCATAATAAAATGTTCAAATACTTCCAAACAAAGTGATTGTCAACTTCTACGTTATTTGGTCTGTGGTGGAGAGTTTTCTAATTGGCAATCGTACAACATCTCGTATTCTTATAAAGTAACTGATTTCATTTTTGTTTCCGATTTAGGAACATTGCCACAAAATTGGCAAAATATAACAAACAAATTATTGATAGTGTGTGGAAATTATTTGGTTTTATCTGTTAACATTCCATTCCATACTAGCTTTGTGCTTTCTGTCGTATATTGGAATTTTTCGGGTTTTATTCTATACCCATTGCAAAGATATATTTGAACCAGTCAGTCATTCCGACTATCCGTCCGTCAACACTTAGGTGTCCCCGACACATATTTTTTGCGACAAGATCCTTTGCATGTGTAGATGCAACGAATCAGTACCATAATGAAAAAAAAAAAAACGAAATGGGGAATTTTCTCGGGAGGGTGATTTGTAAACATACCCGATATTTTTTTGTTGCTGGTATAGCGCCTTAATGTTTTCTCATATCCTTTTAAAATATTCAAAATGTTTACATTCATTTAATTCACCTTTCAGTTTAAAAATCAGAACAAAATGAGTGAAGAGACTTTTTAGGGGCGAAAGACTTGTAAAAATAGATCAAACATATGTTTTATATCTTTAATAAGGCCCTCATTTCTCATTGCTTTTTCTCAAAAATAGATTAAAGATTTCAACTCATTAACACCATATATGGTTCGTTCGTCGAAAAGAGTTCAAAATAGTAGTGAGACTTTGACAAATAATACACACAATCTGTCATCCTTTGTTGTCGCCTGGATACTGCCAACAAATCGGAAAGATCTGACTCAAATCTATTTTGAAAACTTTGTCAAGTATCAACGTTTTAAAAATTTCAAAGGGATTTTTTTTCAATTACATTTGTAAAATCGCACGAAGCTATGTCTTCGGACTACTGAGCCGTACCGCATTATATGAGAGAGTTGGATATGTAGCCTTCCTTAAAACAAGTTCTTTCATTTCATTTTTCTGGATCAAAATGGTGGCCACAAGGAAATGCTTGGTTGGTTTTTCTTTTAAAAGAGGGGTAAGATAAGATCCATAATCTGGCCTCTTAGACAATTTTTAATACTTCAAACCTGTTTTTATTTGCGTTGTGTTCATAAGGAACAAAAAATAAACAAAACTTTTTCTTATACAACTGTCCTCCATTTCAGTTTAAAACAACATATACGTACATATATAAAGTAACTTCATAGAAGCAAATATGTTAAATGAATATGCAAGTTATTTCTTCCATTTAAAAGTATTCAGTATTATAAAAACCGCTGTAAGAATACTATATTTTCATTACATCTAAGTCCGAACTATGACACTGCACACGTTCTGGATTGCTCACGTTCTGAAATAATAAAATATTGATATAAATGAACGTTAAATACATAGCCCAAATTTGATTTGTTTGTGTATTATCATTGCAGAAATACATATTATTCTCAAATAAGATATAAGACTCATTACGGTTAATACGGATTATAATCTGGATACCTTCCTGTATTTGACTTTCAAATATACTAGAGGTCATTGATAATAAATAAGAAATATCTCAATTACATACTTTGAAATGTAATTGATCATTCTGTTATGATAATTCTTTGTTATGTTCGGCTTAAAATGTTTGAAAGTTTACGTCTGGATTATTCTGTAATTCAAAATTTCCTTTACCAGAGATACTCTTTACTGATATTTCTACTCAGCTACCTTGGACTATTTTTTACTTACAATGGTGTAAACAATATTTCATATCTCAAGATTTCAACTTTATATATAATATTGACGTTTAGGCATTTTTCTTACATAACTGTTGTATGAACAAAGGTAGTTTTGAATATACTGTAATTTAATCTATAATAAAACTTTTTTCTTCATATAGTTGAATTGTTCTAAGTTACCACCATGACTTGCATGCATCTTTATCATAGTCAAGTTATATGTCATCTGTATTTATAGAAATTAGAAATACAGCAGTAGTTACCGATGTTAAAATCTGAATAGTCGATTAAGAAGACTGATCAAGGGTAAAACAAACAAAAACTGAAGTCATCACACATGAAATCCTAACGTACCGATACTGGGTTCATAGACAGGGTGAGCATATCCTGATACGCATGCTTCACACGCAATGCAAATCCACACTCAGTACATATGTTACAATTGGTAAAATTACAGACAAGACAATTATTCTTAAATCTAAAAATCTAATACTGCGAAAACATGCGCTAGTGAGTTTAGACACAGACATATCGAATCATCTGATGATGATGATGATGATGACCGTCAACCGTATAGTGTGTCGATTCTTTGTGATTAAAAAAAAAACGGTTAAAAGTCATCCACACCAAATTCCACCAAAGATGATAACTGTTGACATTATAAAGGTGGGACACTTAGAAATTGTGAATGTCACAAATTTCTGGTATATGCAAATAAGTAAAATCATAGCAGAAATTTACTTCTCAAATATGGAAAAGCAACAAAAATACAAACAAAATTCATCATACAAACCCTGAATTAATTGTTTTATTTCTTTCAAAGTTCTCTTATGATCTTCACTTGTAGCGTGAATATATTCTTCTAACACTGCAACTCTACCTTCTAGCTTTTCCTTTTCTTCTTTTAGTATTTCCAGTTCAGTACCCATCATGTGTACATTTTTCTGAGACTTTTCTAGTTCAAGTTTCAGTTCTTCGTTTTCTTGACGCAACAGGCGTTTTTCTTTTTCAATTTCTCTCAGTTCGTCCTCTTTTGAAATTGGTTGAATTTCTCTTTGCTCTATCTCTATTTCTTTTAAAGTTAGTTCTGACGTCTTACTTTCTATTACAAATTCTTTTGCAGACATCTCTTGTTCTTTTGTTATCATATCAGTTTCCATTTCCAAAAAAAATTATTTGTTTTAATTCTATTTCCTTTTGCTTCTCCTCTAGTTTCCGTTTTGTGTCATTTACTTCATAGAATATTTCCATTGGTCCAACGTTGATTATTTGTTCAATTGTTTTTTCCTAACAGAAAAGAATTGAATGTTTCATTTCCTATCTAAAGGTATAGTTAACTTGTGTTAATATTTCACTGCGAATCGAACTCCTTGCTTGAAGTTTGTATTGTGTGCCTGATATTAAACACACAATAAGACCTCTCGGCTTGAATTGCTTCACATTTTTTTTATGTCGGGACTTTGGTGGTGACTATACTAAAAAGTGTTTTCTAATTGTTGAAACCGTACAGTGACCTATGATTGCTCATATTTTACGTTATTTGAACTCTAGTGGATAGTTGTCTCATTTGCAATCATAGCACAGCTCCTTATTTTATATGAGGTCAAATGGAAAAGGGAGTAAAAACTATAAAGTTGCTTTCTTATGTTCTCATTACTGTTTTTTTTTTTGTGTTAATGAAGAGATTCTCATTACCAAACAATTCTATGTTTTGTTGTATTACTAGTATTCAATTGTTTCACAAAGTACGTGTTTCAAAAGGCAATAATTGCATTGTCGAAATATTTTATTGTGTTTTCATCTGATTTAATAGATATCGAAACAAACCTATATTTTCAAAATTATATGAGTGTTGTTTGATCTTTAACAGTTGTTTAGATACAAAACAAAATCGATATGTGTTTGTTCATGAAAAGGGCAAGTCACCTTCCATTATTTGGGCTCCAGCAAAATTTTGAAGAAAAACGACTGACATCGACACTGAACAAGTTTTACTGTTATAATCTGGAGCTTGTTGACAGTTGATACGTGCCTGTTATCGTACTCACAGAGACATGTTGTCTGTCTAACCTTTTAAGATATGCAATTAGTCGTGCGCTCTGTCGATCATAGAATTTAAAATTTAAATGTTCCAAGCTTTTGTTTTGCAATTTTGTAAATAAACCTACCGTTACTTTTACATCACAAGAAATTCTCCAATTTTGGTAAAAGCAACTGTACACTCCACTGTTACCTTCCTTCATATTTTTTATCGTTAATGTGTACTTGAACGAATTTTCCTCAACTGCTTCATAAAAATCTATTTGATTGTCCCCTGAAAGTTCTTGACCATTTCTATCCCATTTGATGTTGACATCTGCATTCAACTTGCAAGTTAAGTGTAATCTTTCTTTATTTTTTACCTCTTAATCTTTGAGACCTTCAATTACTTTGATAACTATAGAGAGATAAGAAAACATCTTCATATCACAAGCAAATCTTATGTCACATTCAGAAAAAAATTACTAATACACTTTACATTGAAAATCTGTAAAATGATAAAGATAAAACAACTTTATACTTAAAGGTAAATTATCAGAGATATCAACACTGATGATAATACATTTATAGCAATATCTAGTGTATTGATTGATTGACTGAATGATTTATTGGTTTATTGTCGGTGTTTAACGCCATTTTCAACACTGTTGGCTATACCGCTGCAGCCAGTTTTTATTGGTCGTGGAAAACAGAGAGCCTTGAGAAAACAACAGACCTTTGACTGGACAGTTGTCAATCCTTGTCAATTTAGAAGATCGGAGTCGAATGCATCTGCCTCGTGTGGGGTTCGAAACCACAACAATTGTTGCCAGGCTAGTGATATGTAGATAAAAAAAACTTAGACCACTCTGCCACCAAGACCCCTGATTACTTTTTTGAAAAACAAAGAAATCTTTACATTATATATATTATCCAAGTGTCTCTTTTTCTTTTTATTATACACATTTTAAGATATAACAACCTTCTCAAAACCAAGGAACTATTGTATTTGTTTTGATTGGGAAAAATCCACTTTCAATGCGTTTGATTCTAAGATTGAATCATCTTATATACTAGTACACGATAGTCAATTTGAAGACTGAAAAATGGATATATATGCTAAAACGTCTTAACCACTCTAACTTCAGAAAAAAAACTCTGATTTAAAAAAAGTTTTTCAAATACTCAACACGTTAGACAGTACAATCTTGTAGAAAATGCCCAACAAACACCTTAAAGAAAGTACAGTTTACTATATAGGATTACAATATTCAAAATCTTCCATTTCCTATCATGATTTCCTTCAAGATAAGAGGATTCAATAAGATACAATGAAACTTTTGAACTGAAAGTTGGATCCTAGTCATTAATTTGGTAAAAAATAAAGTCATCCACTCGAAAGGTGTACGCGCGCCATCAAGAGTTGGTTGACCATTATGGAATATCTGTGTCACAGACGATGTCTATTTTACACGTTCTTTTGTTAATACCTAAAACGGATGTCTATATATTTTCATTTCGCAATGGATTTGTTTTCATTGCAATCCGTTTGGTTAAAATAACAATCAATATCATCTATTCAAATTTCATCACATTCAATAAGGCAGGCCCAAAACGATGCCTATTTTTGTTTGATGGTCTTACTCTAGAGAGAAAATAGCTTATTTTTACTTGTAGCAAGAAAACAAGTTCGATGACTCCATTTTCACTTTTTTATTATCTAAAAGTATATTATCAAACTCATCTTTCTTAGTTCAAAGTTCTAATGGAGACAATAACATCACTGAAAAAAATATTTAACGCTCTAGAACCAAACAACAACAAATACATGTCGACAGATTCAAAGACAACAACAGACCGTCAAGGGGCTATAATTACCAGTTAGTCTATTAAAGAAATGAATTTGTGAAAAAAATCTTTCACTAAAAACTGTGATTTGGTATCAAGTATGCCATTTCTTTTATCATTGCTTTTATAAAGGATGTAATGACTACAAATAAATTAATCGTTCTGTGTTTCACAAGATCAATCATATGTAAGCTGTCAGCAGATAAGTATTATACACCATTGCGTAATGTATGGTCACTCCATTTAAATAGTAAATTGTTTTATATTTAAAAAAATTTAAAAAAAGAATAATAGAAATAATTTTTTTGTAACAATACCTCTATTGCTATCTTTGTATTAAGCATTCATGTAAATTTTAACATAAAAAAAAATACTTAAGTTCTTTGTAACATGATCATAACAATATTTAAATTAATTTTCTTTTTAAAAAATTTATACTTCTATTTTCTTTACATTAACAACATGTATAATTTTCATTTTTTCACCACCCTACAAACATTTTTTTGAAAGATGTCCGCATATATCCATATGCTTTTTACATATTTGATTTGTCCAATTATTTTAGAGCAATATGATCAAAACGTCAACATTATGATGATTAAAAGTTTTATCAACTTACGATTTATGATATATAAAATGAATAAAACAATGAAACTTGACTGATTTGCTACTTGAGAAATGTTTACAATATTGTAGGTGCTTAAAATTGAAACGTTGTTAGAAAATTTAGTGGTTAGAGCATGGAATTTCCTGACTTTCTCCTGAAGAATACACGTAGATTATCTGACAATAATTTTGATAAGATATAGTAAAACATCGCGAAACGTTTCAAAGGCAGAGGTTTGATTAAATGCTTAAAGGTAACCAGACAACGACCCCTTATGGAATAGTCTTAGGATCCTCAAGAGATAATCAAAATATAACGGACAAAAGTTAGAGGTCATATTTAATCAAGTTGACAGGCGAGCATATTTGTATTTTGTTTATTATTGAAGAATTAATACATCAAGGAATTCTGAATTTCAAAACGACGGCTTCTTGTTGTAAATCGTTGGTTTAACACCCTGGAATGAAGTCACCCATTTCAAATAATTTATAAAACGAATTGCAAAAGATTCTACTGTAATAACTAGTCCAAGATAAATGAAGTAAATAATAATGTCGACGACATCACGAAATCCGAATGTAAACTATCTGCTCTAACGGTCATGATATTTGCTAGTCATCATTGTCCTAATTAATAGACAATGAAACGCATATATCATCATGTGTAAAATAGATAACGGGCAATAGCAATTAGATAAACTTAAACGTTCTAAGAAATATATCCAAGTTCTTTATTTGTAAAAGTATTGAGTAAAGTAATACCTTTTAGAGTACAACATGAAGTCTCGTAGCAACATTTACATAAATAATCGCCTGCATCTTCTCCCTGTGCATTCATTATGATGAGCTGGTGGACAAGACCTTTATTCTTTAATTTATATTTTGTATTTGACGCTATTTCGATTCCACTTTTGCACCATTTCACGTCTCGATCATCGCTGCATTTGCAGGATAAAACAACATCTGAGCCGATTTCAAATACGCAATCTATCAGTTCTGATGTAAATATGAACCTCGCTGCAACTAAAGAGAAATCATAACATTAAGCACCACAATAATAAATTCCATCTGCATTATGCACATTTAGAATTAAAGTTTATTTTTGAAATGAAAAACGGTCAATCGATCCTTTTAAAGTGGACTTTATATACCTGACAAAATCTAATTATAATGTAAGCTGTCTGGAAAAGCAACATTACTTTAGCTTTACTCAAGTTTCTGAACTGCATATACTGCATTTGTAATATTTAATATTTTAGATATATGTACTTTAAGATATTTTGCCTGGTAAACTGGAGATATCCAATAACAAAAACCTAAGACTATAATCATGACATACATTGTTTTATGGCTGAATTTTGATCAAGGGATTGATTGAAATTATCAGAAGTTTACTATCAATTAATTACATTTTTTGCCTTGGGAAACTTTAGATAGAAAAGTAACCTAATAGATCAGATCTCATATTCACAAAAAAAAATAAGAAGGTATTCAAGGTGACGAGATTGTATCTTTGCCTAATCTATTTATCCATAGTTCGCTTGGTGATTTTAATATGCATATCAATAAGGTTATATTGGTTATTGTAGACAATTGAATCCCTTTGAACAATTAAAATCTTACAATAGATAGGTTTTTCATGGTTCTTTTCGTATCGTTTCAGACGAAAATATTTGTATTTTATGAAGAAATAAAAAATCAAGAAATACTTAATTTCATAACGACGGCCTCTTGTTATTACATTTAACTACGTCGTTGGTTGAACAACCTGGAATGAAATCGTTCATTCCAAATCATTGTTTAAACAAATTGCATAAGATTATTCAATAATATACCGTCCAAGGTAAATCAAGTTAATAATAATGTCGAAATCCGGGAGTAAACTATCTGCTATAACAGGCATCCTCTTTGCTAGTCATTGTTGCCCTAATCAATAGGCAATGAAACTCATATGATAGAATAGACGAACCACATTAACGCATTTGACCCATATTCATATCATACTCCGTTCAGTCGGAAAGGACAAATACATCATCATGTGTTAAATAGATAACGGGCCATAGCCATTAGACAAATGCATATTAAATATTCTAAGAAATATATCAAAGTTCTTTTCTTCTGAAAGTGTTGAGTATAGTAATACCTGTTAGAGTACACTCTGATTTCTCGTAGCAACATTTGCATAAATAATCGCCCACATCCTCTTCTTGCGCTTTCCTAATGATGAGCTGCCGGACAAGGCCTTTATTCTTTAATTCATATTTTGTGTTTGGTGATATTTCGATTCCACTTTTGAACCAGTATACTGCACGTTCACAGCTTACTTCGCAAGATAAAACAACTTTTGATCCGATTTCAAATACGCAATCTCTCAGTTCTGTTTTCAAGTAATACTTCGCTGCAACTAAGGAGAAATCATAACATAAAGCACCACAATGACAAATTCCATCTACATTATGCACATTTAGAATTAAAGTTTATTTTCAAATTGAAAAACGGCCAATCGATCATTTTAAAATGGACTTTATATACCTGACAAAATCTAATTACAATGAAACCCGTCTAGAAATTCGACCTTCCTCAAGCTTTACCCAAGTTTCTGACCTATGTCAGATGCATATAATGCATTTGCAATGTTTAATATTTCCAATATTACCAATTTGAACAATGCAAAATCGCCAATGACAAATTCATTATGCGTCGATATTACCGTTCAGAATTTTTTTTAATGAAGTTCTTTCTCCGTACTTCTCATGTACATGTTTATTGTATTAGAAATACCTCATATGGATGACTTTGGTTTAAATTTTACTTTTTTAAGATTTTAGATACATTTAAGAATATCCTACATAGTTTTTACGTTTTTAAATATGAAAATGTCTAATTGGTGATATCCAATAGAAATTTAAAAAAAAACACTTATATTATTAAAGATAATTGCTACAGTGGTAAACCGTACATTAATCGTTTAACAAAACAATATGCTATATTCACGACATATATGTTTTGTTGTTGAAATCTGATAAAGAGTTTGATTAAATAATCAGACATCTATCTTTTGATTAATTGATTTATTGGCTCGTGAACCTTTATTTAGTAAAGTAACATAATAGATCAGATCTCATATTTTCACAAATCAGGAGGTATTCAAGGTAATGATGAGATTGTATCTTTGCCTAATCCATTTATCCATAGTTCATTCAGTGATTTTAAAACCATATGCATATCTATATTGTTTTTTGAATATCTAAGACAATTCTATCCCTTTTAACATTTCAAATCTTACCATAGGTTTCTGATTCTTTTCGTTCATTTACAAATTTGACGAATTTGCATACTAAGTATTACTTGGTAATAAATTTAGATTTTCATTCAGAGAAGATATTCTCATCTCGTAGATGGAGTTATTTTTACATAAGAACATAATATTAGAAAATGGCTACTGACCCATGACCATTTCCGTAAGTCTTTCAGGAATTCTTTTATCGATAAACTGATTCCACTATTTCACTATGATACTAGAACTTATTCAAACGTTTTCAATAAATCAGATTTCGTCAGGAAAGATTACGTAGTCAAAACTTTTCCAAGAAATTTCGAACTTGGGTTTTCGAATGTTGCATTAAAAAGAATATGCCAGGGAACACCCAAAAAAACTAACAAGTACAATAGACCACATCAACCACCAACATCTGAAAAAGGACGTAAAACAATAACAGAGAACAACACATAGTCAACAAACAGTCACGCTTAAACCAGCTGTACGTGCACAAAAACCTCCCTCTTTGCCTATCTAGACCATATGTTGTAAAACTATATCGAACAATAAAAAAAACTGTACAGAGCAGCCACTTACAGGATAAACAGTTCGCCTTTTTAATTTTTTTTTTATTCAAGCGTCACTGATGAGTCTTCTGTAGACAAAACATCTTTTTGGCGTACACAATTTGAATCTTGGTATCTATCATGAGTTTATTTACTTTGACAAGGAAATAAATGAATTGAAAAGCAGGGTTATAACGTGCTCGATACTATAGGTAGCTAACAAATGTTGGTAAAGCTGTTGATTAGCTCCTGTTGCTCAAAAACAAAATTTAGATACAACACGATGGGCAAACATTGGAGTAGGATTTTCTTTTTCCTCCGGGGCACATGATTATGTCATTTTTCTATGAAATATTTAGTGATCTGTTATTTATTTTCCTTCGTTTTTCGTTTTTTTACCATGGTTTTGTCGGTTTCTTTTGACTTATGAATTTGGATTGTCCTTTTTTATCATCCACCTCTGTATTTCCGAACAACATAGCGTACGCTCGTTATCGAAAGAAATAGACAAAATGATTGATACATAGCATTGTTCACATCATTTTTGTTATCATTCCTAGACTGTTTTTTAATATCGTTATGATGAACGAACCGATTAAGAAATGTCAATGAATTAATTGGTACATATTTTCATTAGATATGCATCTTATTCTAAATCATCAATGATATTGTACAGGATGTAATATAGTTCAATAAATAAAATATCATTAAAGTTCGGAAGTATCAAGAATCGAAATTAAACTAATTCAGCAGAAACACCAAATAGAATGGATCAAATGAAAAAACATATCATATTCCTTTTCTTGGTAGTGATACTTATCATTAGAAAGTCTTGGTTTGAACTAGAATTTACCACTCTCACAGTGATCGGCATATACTATTGAAATTTACTTACATCGAACAATCATTGCAATTTCACTAATTTCTGTTATATTTAGAACATCTATGAAGACATCTGTTGATTTATTTATTTCTATATACCAAAACAAAGCTTCTATCCGCGTATATAGAGACAAGCTTTCGTTACACTCGTTAACACTCTGTTTTTGATCTTCAGTAATTGCTCCTCTTTTGCGCAACATAAACACAATGTGATTCAGTTTGCTAGTGAGTAACTTAACAAATTTTCCACTATTTTCTTCAAAACAGTTTCTTATCCTCCCCATATCATACGGTATGCAGTTGTTGCATACATTCCTAAGGTTTTTATGTCTTCAATCAAAAGAATGTAGCACGTATATATCTTCCATCTTTTTGGCAACGTTACTGTTTAGCCACGCATGGTAGATCTATATACATTTGATCAATTCAATTCAAATGTCAAGATGTCAATATATTGAACTCAATGGTTCATTGCTATAATAAATAATCTAAATGAGATATTACATGGATGTGACAATGCCGAACCAAATAGTTACAGATGGTATAATCAGCTCAGTAAGTAAGTATTTTAGTACTTGCTTGAAAAGAAACGGATATTTTTTATCGACATTTGCTGTTATAAAACTTAATAAATAATTTGAAATTGATGAATGTACCTCCTTTATGCATAGGTCTGATTTATTGTCCGGCTTTGGCAATATTTTGGCACTTTCGATCATTCCAGCTATTCAAACTTTGTACAAGGATTGGAATATTTAAAAAGGTTCCGCCCACGAGCATCACTGATGAGACATTTTTTGTCGAAATATGAACTATTTAGGAGTGCGCCGATATAGAACGCGATTCATACCTGTAGAAAGTTGCTTGGTGCCGTGTATTGTTAATTACAATATTGAAACCTTTGTTCCACTATCTAAATGTCTGGGAAAAGCTGTGATAACAAAACTACCGAACTCCAAGGTAAAAAATGGGGAAAACTGACAAAATTAAAAGCTCGACTATATAAAAGGGACGACTGGAAAACAACCGTCATGTTCTTGCTTTGATACAGACATTTTTTTTGAAGAAAATAGTCGATTTAATCTGGTTTTATAGCTCTCTAAACCTCCCACCTGCATGACAATTGTACATAGTTCGTTATATTGACAAATTTTATGAGCAGATATTATTGATTAGCGTGACAATAATTGGGATCGAGCAGCCAAAATAGTGTAATCATACATCATATATATATAACATTACTATATTTGATAGCCTTAACAAACACAATCAAATCTAACAAAGACGCTAACAGAAAATGTTTTTTAGTTGGAGGTCTAGTACAGTATAAAGTAACAATAATGCCGAACGCCAAGGAAAATTTAAAACGGAAAGTCCCTTAACAAATGGCAAAATATAGTGACATATACATACACTACATATTTAGAATATATTGAATAAAATGGTTATTTTTGAAATCTCAAAAAGAGATTTTATATGAATTTATAGGGTTAAATATACTTACCATGAAATTACATTTATATTATATAGAATATGTTTGCTTTCGGAACATATTCTCATCGCAATTAACTAGGTGATTAAAAATTACATCCATAAGATGTACTCACCTACGTCATAATTTACCTGTGTAACACATAATATCTTCAGTTTTAATTTGTCGTTTAATTGAATAATTACAATTGTGTGAAAACAAAAAACTGAATTTATACTAGGGGTGGTGATGGATTGTGGTAAGTATATTTAACCCTATAAATTCATATAAAATCTCTTCTTGAGATTTCAAAAATAACCATTTTATATGAATTTGGTTAAATATACTTACCATGAAATTACATTTATATTATATAGAATATTCACTGATTAACAAGCAGTGTTTTATTTTGGTGGAGGATAAATTCTCTCACACATATACAATTTCCAACATATCAAAAACTATGTCAAAATTGTTAAAAAATAACTCCACTAAATTTTGTAAATACTGAAATAAGTCAAAACCGAAATTACAAAATTCAAATTTATTACACAATAAAGCTATGCTGTATAACTATATGTATCAATGGCAAAACTCTGCAGATTGCATAAATAAATTTTGCAAAAAATAGACATGAATAAATAATCTGCAGGCCAGTATAGAAATTATTTCATTAAAGCTCCTACATTATGAGTTAAATGTGTTGTAATATTATTGCAACAGTAAATAAGCATTTATTTTATTTATTTTTTAATTTGTCATGTGAATAGGTTGTTCTTATTGCTTGTACAAATCGACAAGAAGTAATCCAACCTTAGTATCATTTACTTTTCAACTTTGAAATATTAGTTTTCAAAACTTTAGTTTATATAACAACAGAGAATATATGACTGCTGATCATTATCAATATCTTTCAAAATAAATTCTTTTCTGCTTAATTGTCAAAGAATTATAATCAATTAAAATATACGTTGTAAATAAGTGTCCTTACCAACAAAGTATAATAAAGACTCAAACGAAAGTTGTTTCATGATTATGCTAAATCTGGATCAATCTATAAACTTTTTTTGAAGTTATAGTCTCCTTGAGTACATATTCTTCTAGATATACTACTCTTGTTAATATCTAATAGATTTAGAAAGAAAATATTTTTTGTCAAGAGAAGTCCTGCATTATAGGAATGACATGATAATTTTCCTAAGTTAACCAACTAAATTTTAAAGTCTGATAAAATTTCTATGATTTGAATACAATGTCTACCAGTCCAACAATGAACAAACATTATCTTTGTGTTTCGTATTAGACTACCTAAGTGTAAAATTAAGAAAATGGACAAATCAGTGGAAATGTTTTAGTATACATGTTTTCCAATGGTATCATAATGCTTCTACAGAGCATTTGGATGTTGAGCAAGCCAAAACTGGTGTCCTAATAAGCCAAAAAGAATGCCGACAGATGATTTTCTCAAACTATGAAAAATCTGTCTGTCAATGTTGTTCTGACATTTCTAATTAATATCTCACAATGGTATACTGTCTAAAATGTGAACCTTAAGCCACGATTGTTTTTAAATTATAAAATGCCATGCACAGATTCAAATTTAAAGAAATAAAAGTTTGACATATTGAACAACTTTTAAACTGTTGCTCTTGACAATTGTTTTTATTTGTTTCAGAAAATATTTCGCAATCAGAAATACTAACATGCAACATGTCAAATTTAGTTCTATACATGTATTTAAAGAAAACACATGTTTGACAATATGGAAAACACTTGTACTAGCTTGTTTTTGATAAGTGTTCTTAGTTGTTTAAGAAATGGTTTCACAATCAGAAATGCTCATTTCATTTCTCTCTTAGTTCACCTTATCTGAATTCTATATATACATTCTGATATGGTTCAATATAAACTAACCAAAACATTTTTGGTATTAATTTTGTGACTTCAACCCAGTCATTTGGTTAAACTAAAAGTCACTCAGAAAAACTTTGCATTTGTCCACTGATTTGACAAAACAAAATGAATGGGATTTATATAATCACATCTTTCAAAACAATATTGAATACAAATTTAAACTAACTGTTAATAAACACATTTCAATTTTGTCTAGTATATTCTTGCATAAAATACTAACTCTATGCCAGATATTAAATATTATTTCTGCAACTGTAAAAGTTGTTAGATAATTGTCTGGTCATTATGAAAATTGAATAGTGAATACCCTCAATTTTGGGATTAAATCACACCCAATCTATTTGGAAACCTTCCTACATGTAGATTAGTCACAACTTGACTTTGACAAGACTAGAATTTTTGTACTCTTTGTGTAATAATGAACAAAAATAAAAATAAACAGTGACATTTTAAATTTAGATATTTACAAATGTCTTGCACTTATAATCATGGAATTATCGTATTGCATTTTACTTCCACTGACTAACAGACTGTTTAATGTTATTTGCTAACTATTAATCAGTCTTTTAAATAAACTGCTTTTCATGTATTTTGCTTTTAGATTAACTGTTTCTACAGGTGCTAAAATATGAGAAGCAATTGAAATATATATATATATGTTTATTGGTACATTGTAGCCAAAAAGACCTCTTCTTTTTCCTGCATCTTGTAAAGACTGGCTAAAAAGAAGATTTATATAAAGAGATGTATTAGATAGTTCATTGCTCAATCTTGTAAACTACTCTAATCTCCTCGTCAATGTCTAGTATTTTTAATGAATCTTGCATCAACAATGCTTTATATTTTCTGTATTTATTTAGTAATATTTTACTAGTTATATCTAATTTGTGCAAAATCTATATGATATGCCTTTATTCTTAATCTTAATTCTCAAAAAAACAAATCCTAATGATAATCTAGTTTTTTTTTGGTTTTTTTTTATAAATCAGTATCTTTGAGTCCTCTATAGTTCAACTTTCTAATTCAATATAAACTCGAGGAAAAACTTGTAGCAGTTTGATTAGCTGTTTTAACTAGCAATCTCACATTAAGATTGAAAACAGACCCAATGAAGATAGCAGAATCTTGTCAAACTTGTTGTCATTGCTTTGAAAACAAGACGTAAAGGCTATTTTCTATATTTAAAGAGCTTCCCAAAAATCTCTTCCTTTCATGATTGGAAGATACATGTATTATTTGTCAGTGATTCTCATATGGTGAGGGTAAAATATACCCTTAAGTCTTATGTTATCACCTTTTTGTGTACTTAAGGCAAAATAGCACAAGTACATATTATATGTCATATGCATTGGCAATTTACACTCTGATTTATGTAATCAAAATATAAGCCATTTCCGTGAATAGAGTCTTTGTGAAATGCACCATAATGGCAATGATCCCCTAAACTCTTCTGAACCCAAGAGACAACTAATGTTTACTTAAAAACATATAAAAATCTGTGTTTCATTAATGCACACAAACAACCAATTGGTCATAGCATTACATACTGATAATATTAATGTTCTTCTTGTCAGTAATAAACTGACCTTGAAAATAAAAAAAATTATAATATGAGTTGTCACAAGCTATCAACAGTTTTTAGAACGGTGTTCCATTCTTGCTGACTCAACATATTAGTAGTTTCTTAACATCTGTAAGAGAATAATTTATCAGTAAAGAAAAGATTTACAGCAGGTTCTTGCTCCGAGAAAATATTTCAGGCTTCTAAGAATTTACTGTCCTGATTAAATCTGGACATAATTATAAATTTTGTGTATTGACATGTAAGTACTAAATAACTCTGTACTATTTCAGTGGTTTTTTTTATCTGTCTTGACCTTTTGCAGACACTCTTTCAATATATCATCTGAGCTGTTAGTTCATCACA